AAGTCCGTAAAGACAAGAGGGTCTTAACAAGGAAGTATGCTAAGGGCGCATAATAGCGAGTATTCACACGGATGATGCACGTACACAAATCACTTGTATAGGTTTATGGGTAAATTGTACAAGACATTTACAAGGCCCTGGGGTGAACTCTGATTAAGGGCGCTGACTATCTTAGGCGTAGGTTTCCTGAGTTTCATGTATTTGGAAATTTTCATGTCCCGCGTTGACGTGGATATACCGTGTTCTCCACTGATGTGGAGTAAGACACTGGCTTTAACTATAACAGATATATTCTTGAGGTGTGCAAGTTAAGACTTATGCCTGATTTCAGTCGAATTAAAGAATCGTTGCAGTGTCTACTTGAGCAGAAGTGTAAAAAAATGCCACCGTACTGATGGCGATTGACAAATGAAATGTATCGTATTCACAGGAAAAGTCATTTTTATATCTTGATCCCTGACTCTGTCATATGCAATGCGATCTGATCTTTGGGTGGTGCCAGACTATTTTGGGTTCTAAATTTCACTTTCATTTGTTTTAATATTGCTTACAACATTTAGGTTTGTTACTTCTAGATTTTACACAAAATATGGCACGAATTTGTATTTAACTTTTTTCACTGTTATCTTAACTTATGTTACAAAGATGAGATGTTTGTACTTCACGTTAAATTCAAAATGGCAGACACATGTATACGATCTATTAGAGTGCTGACAGGCGAAATATGATACCGCTCCTGTGCTGCGCCCTAGGCAGAGCAGACAGCTTGAGATTGACTGTTATCAATGGTCAGAAGAAGATTTTTCCTAAGCTTGTGTGAATATCGTATGCAGCGATACTGATACGCTGCGTGTAGGCCTACTAATTCCGTAAACTGCATAGTGCATAACCGTCATTCGATTTCCCGCTGGGCGACTGGAATGACTCATTCATCCCGAATTTTACTCTCGTTTTCGTCTATGGGCGACCATGTTAGCATTTTGAGCATTCAAATTGGAAAACTTCAAGGTATACGGCAAATTAAGATGCGTATAGAACAGAAAGGGAGATTACAATAAAAAATACGCTGGAAGTGTGTCCCACGTATTGACTTGAACGTATATTTTTATTATCTCAATCAAATAATTACGCATCAATACAGTACTTTTTGTTCTAACACGGATTGCCCGTTTAATCAAAATGTACAAATGAAACTCTCCCTGAACCTTCATCATAGATGCTGAAACTATCCTTTAGATGCATGTTTACTGATTTGTAATTTCTTTATTTTATACACGAGAAACACCCTCTCTCCGTTCTGTACATGTAAACTACAATTTTTCGGATTCTCTTAAACAAACAATGGCTTATTTTCTTTTGGTCACATTTTTAAAGTACTGTTTTGTTTCCATGTTTCATTCTATTTTTCTCATCCTTTTTAAACATTTCCCCTCTTTGTCCACTTGTGAGGTATAAACAATTTTAAATACTTCGCTGTTATTCTTTCTTTCATAATGACTCAAACAGAAACAAAATACGATACACTAATCAATCGTTAATTGTTTTTATAGAGATCTCTAACCGTGAACCAAATGTTTCCTTTCAAGAAATATATTTCATAAATTAGTCACAGAGGAAATAGAATTAGAAGATTTAACGTTTATTGAATAACATTACACAAAGCGGGACGAAGGCACAGAATCTGCACCGTCCGGGGCCAGTATTGCAAATTCAGTAACTAATCGGTTCTATTAAAGTGGGCGCGTTGTATTCCATTAATCTGTTTCGTGCTTTCACATAAATTAAAGACAGGTCCGTTTCTACGTCGGTTTGCCTCGCACCAAATAAACAACGTTTAAGTCTCCGTGTATCACGCCGCTGTCGAATTACTGCAGTGCTGCATGGCCAAAGATTGAACTCAATATAAGGCACTGGCACTGTGCTAGTGCTGTTTGACACCTATTTGGTTAATGTAAGTGTTGCTGTGAGGGGAAGTAAGCGAATGCATGCCAGTACTTCGCACAGAAATAGAGGCAACAGTCGAAATACTGGAAATTATTATCAATCACTTCTGGTAATGACACCAAGGATTCCTCAAAAGCGCCCTAGGCACTGTAGCTCGTAAGCCTGAAGAAAACTGAAAAGGGAATACAATGAGAAGCAGTTACAGTCATAAAGGTGGGAAGAAACCCCAGAGGAATATTTATATTCAGATAAGCTTTATATAGAATATTTGCAGCCGTGGGTGTCTTGAAGTATGTCTTGGCATGCAGATTCTCCATCTGGTATGTTCTTGGTTGAATTTATCCACAGCAATACATGTACTACCCAATAAAACATGCTGGATCTAATCATCCAAATGCCCAACAAATCCGTGAGCGAGAGCCGTGAGGCAAGTTCCTTTTGTTGCTCAATGTTAGTGATCGAGGAAATAATGTTAACCAAGGCCTATAAGTGAGGCTTAGTGAATTAAAACGCGGCATCAAGATTCACGAAGACGCTGAAAAGCATTGTATTTTGAGCATCGCATTGCTGCCTACTTTCGATATTTTGCGTAATATCCATTACAGCAATGTAATACCACTGAATCCTTCAATACAGCCAGTTCTCTGCTCGTAAAATTAGATTTCCATTCCTGATTTGGATGACGAAGGTTATCACACTTAAAACACACACAAAAAGATGCATTGACTCTTCGGGTTTTGGTGATTTTCGCGCTTAATGGTGGAAAACTTATCTGCATGAGAAGTGTCTGTCCGTGTGTGGTAATTTTGAAAATATAAATCACAGAACAAGTCTTCCTAAGATGTTGAACAAATAATGCTTGTAGAGCCTTCCATAGCCAGCCCTGCCCCGGAATAATCAAGTTTCTACATTGTCTGGACTGGTCATTTTGTTCGCGCACACACCCATACCAGCGGGCAATATATAGAAATCGTCACTATGGCAATAATATTGACTAAATGCAAAGCTATGCAGATCTCATTCCTTTGCAACCCACCTCCTCCCCTGCATCTCCAATTTAATGACGTCCAACTTGAGGTCATTTCTTCCATTAAACTTCTAGGAGTGACCATCCAAAGTGACCTTAAGTGGGACCAGCAGGTTCAGTAACTCATTACAAATGACTCACGTAGACTTTACATTCTTAGCAAACTTTAAGTCGAGATCATACTATCGAAAGAATTCATAACTGTGCACTTTGCATAATCCTTTACCCAAATATCTTGATATATAACAATGCTCTCAATTTCTTGAACATCCAATCGCTTTCAGACAGACGTGTTGACGTCACCACTCAATTTGCCAAAAACTTGCTCACCACCGAAAAATACAAGAGGTTTCCCAGCCCAAGACTCTCTTTCACCAAACTAAATCTCGGGAACTCCAACCACCTTACCATGCCCAGAATCAATACTCAAAGATATAAACAATCTCCTTTCCCCTCTATGATCAGATTAATTAATTAATTCTCAGTAGTTGTGGTTTTTAGTTGTTCAGATGTTCTTGTTCCTCTCATTTTATTTCCACTCTAATTACTCAAATTTTATCTACATCTATCTATTTTTTTTAATGTTTATATTTATGTAATGTCTGGCGATCATTGCAAATATTATCTCTGTAAACCAAATATGAATTAATAAAATGAATGAATTGTACATGCGTTCGGTGGTATACGGGTTGCTGTTGCTAAGTAACACAACGACCTTTCTCCTTCATACATTGTACGCCTTTTTCTATCCTTAAGCTACTTGTTACGAAAAGTGTGTCATGTAGGCGCTAATTTCAGTTTATAATTTGACTTGTCTATAAAATGCATGCCAATATGAGCATTAATTTTTTTCTTTTCTCGAAGTTGCTGGGCAAAATTTAGTTTCGAGCGTAATACCCAATATGCCTTCCTGCAAACCATTAAGGCAGAGATGAGTATTAGATGATCATCAGGGAACCAGAGGCGTTCGCTCAGCGGACTTCACGAGTGTGGGATTTTCAAATATGAAATACTAACCACCTCCTTTTCAGCCTGCAGTGCGTCGCTTTCACTGCTATGGGGTTTATTAGTGATAAAGTCAGATTATTGTGTGGGCTTCCGCACGAATTGGCCAGGCCCATTTGCTTATGGGTCTTTCCCCACAACTTTCCCAGATTTTTGCTTTTGTCTCAAGAAAAGTTTTAAAAATCGTGACATTCAAACTTTACCGTACTCCACTTTCTTGCTCAGTTCCTCCTCACAAGGAAGAAAGAAATCAGCAGACATCCTTTCCACCCAAGGACAGAAACTATCAGTGTGAGAGTCGGAGTTCTATCATGGTAAACCTTTTAACTATAGCGAGCAAGACCAGTCAATTTCTTTCGTTGCCGTGGTCACGCACGGACGCCATCGTAATTGGACACACGGGCGTGACTTAACAGCATTTTTGTCGAATTGGTATTCGTCTGAGACAGTAATATAGAATGTGAAGTGGCTTTTACAAAAAGCACCACGGCAAAAATTAATTAAAAACTGAAATCAAAAATTGAAAATTAAACACTAATTAAATTAACTGACATGCAATTTGGTATTAAATGCATCCCACACGTGTTCCATTCACTGTGACTGTGGTTGAGATTATCATTCATTATTATTATTCATTAAATATATTTCATCACGATTCATAAGTAAAAAAGACTTGAGATTAGTCTTCCCAGTGCACAGAAATCTTCATACGAATATCACAGTTAAACAGATTATTCCATACAAGAATAACATCAGAATGAATGAGACGGTACTTTGACGAAGATGTGACCTGCTCATTCTTAGTTGCGCACGATCTTCTGTTACTGTGTGAGGCCGGCAAGACGCTTTGTAGTTTCATCTGATAAAACCAGTCGGGACTGTCGGAACGCGCGGTATACCAAGATGCAATTTTCTGAAGCAAAAGGAACGATTGCAAATAAATAAGATACAGGCGTATCGATTTGATGGCAGTATTTACGGGCAGCTTTTTCAGGTTTCGGAGAAGAAATTTACGAGATTGAGCATGGCTTTGTATGTGGTGCTGATGTTACTTGTGGCAGCTGCGAAGCTAGCGTTTGCAGGCATCATCCCAAACGCAGCGCACGCCAGCGTGACCAGACCAGGGGATGTTATCCTTGGGGCTAGCTTTCCGATTCACCGCTGGTCCTCCGGAGCACCGTGTAGTGCAGGACTGTACAGCTGGGGGATGGAATTGAGCGCCATTGTGATGTTTGCCATCGAGCAGATCAACGACCGGGAGGATCTCTTGCCAAATGTCACCATCGGCTACGACATTCGCGACAACTGTTACTCAGAGACTCTGTCGCTGTGGACCGCATTCAGTCTGGCTAGCACGTCGGAGAGACCCCAGGAGGACGTCCAGTTCCCAAAGATCAGCCCACCAGACAACGGCAGTCTGCTGTGCATCATAGGGACGCAAACGAGCGCAACCACCATTCCCACAGCTCAAGCTGCTAGCTTGTACAGCATCCCCGTTATCTCCCCGTTCGCAACGAGCAATGAGCTGAGCGACAAGCGCAGGTTTCCGTATTTCCTTCGCACTGTTCCCCCGGACAGTCTCCAGGCCTCGGCCATCGCCGATATACTTTTGCGGTTCGAATGGAAATACATTGGCCTGTATTTTCAGCTGAACACCTACGGAATTCACGGAGCCCAAAGCTTGCTGGACCTCGCCGAAAAGTATGGCATATGCGTGGCGTTTTCCGTTGCGATACGTTACCAACCAAAAACCGCTGAGCTCGTCGACGCTGTCGATAGGTTGTCGAGCTTCCCAAAAGCGAAGGTCGTTGTTATGATTATGGATTATCAAACAGCAAGTGAAATCTTGACAACAATGTCCGATGTTGGACTCCTGTCTCAGTTGACCTTTGTAGGTAGTGACGCCTGGGCATTGCCAGCTTCACTAAAAAGACACGGTGTTGAGGTTTCCCTTTTACAAGGTAGCCTCTTTGTCCAACAACGTTTTATGCGCATTGCTGGATTCGATTACGACCGGTTTATACAGATTGTAGAATCTAGCACCCCATGGTTAGGTGAGTGGAAGGCGGAACACAATTGCTCCGACCTGAGCGAGTGCCCAATCGACGTGGATACAAACGACAATGTCGTGGTCGATGCTGTCTACGCCTTCTCGTATGCTCTCCATAACATGTTGCACGATCGCTGTAGCAATGGTACCAACTGTAACTCAATTCAAACTCTTACCGGACAAGATCTGCTGCAGTACCTACTCAATGTAAGATTCGAGGGGCTGGCTGGGAACTACAATTTTGACAGCAACGGCGATCCAGGCGGGAATTACAAAATACTAAACTTTCAGTTTGTTGACGGAGCCATTAGAGCTGTTGAAGTCGGGCTATGGAGCGCCTTCGCCGCAGATCCACTTAAACTGAATATGAGCGCTGTGAGGTGGAGTGAGACACGAGGAAAACCTGTCTCACTTTGTCGGGAAGACTGTCAAAGTGGTTTTATAGAGGTGCCTCTGGAGGAAAAATGCTGCTTTGGTTGCCAACGATGTCCAGATGAAGCCATTGTCATTGACAACAAGTGCAGGCCATGTCCCGTAGACGAATGGCCAGACAAGAAATTCGAAGTCTGTCAACCCGTTATACCGACCCCGCCCAGCTGGAGCGAGCCCACAGTCATTGTCATCATAATCCTGTCAGTCTTTGGACTAGTCCTGTCCCTTCTGGCAGCGTTCGGAATCTACTACTACCGAGGACACGTGCTGATCAAAGCCGCCAGTCGTGAACTGAGCAGCATTAATCTCTTAGGACTCACGCTGGCTTTCCTTGCTCCCTTTCCACTTCTCGCCCAGGTGACTGACGCCTCATGCCGCGTGTCTGAGATTATCATCACCTTGTGCTTCACTCTGATCTATGCACCAACACTACTGAAAGTCAACCGCATCTACAGGATCTTCGACACCGGAAAGAAGTCCAACAAGCGTCCTCGCTTCATCGGTCCTCGACCACAGCTAATGATGGCGGTTATTGTGTGCCTGTTTACGGTGAGTGTGACTTTTCCAAAAAAAAACGATATCTTTCCAGCTTTGGCGAGAATCTCACCAAGCAAATTAAGAAAAAGTTAACAAAACAGCGAGCATTAAGAATTTAAATATTTGTTCCTCAAATTAAAATTAGAACATTCCAGTATCCAGTTAACCTCTATTTTGCAACTTTAAAATTTAAACTCAAATTTGCTGTAAAACCTTTGTAGGTGAGTTGCTGAGCGACCTCATTTATATGTCAATAGATATAAGTGAATTATTTTGTTGTTGGCAAACCATCCGTGTTTTCCCTGTCACATAAAGTTCATAATATCGAGCCCAAAACTTCCGTTTGTGAGAATGTAAAAATAAATTGGCGGTATAACAACTGATATAATAAAACTAAAGTGGTTCACTGCAACTTGTAACAGTGCAGCTTGATTTTTTTTCAAATCAATATACCTTTTTTCATACTGGTGAAGATCAGGAAAATTAAACAATAACAGAAAAAAAATTATAAATCGACAGATAATTATAGAGTTACAAAAACAAGTGGAAACCAATATGGGTTTTTTACAAGCCGGGAGGCTTGTATTGCAAAGCCCTGGACAAAACAAACTTTACAGAGAGAAAACAAAAAACGAAAAAACAAACAACGATAAATTAACTTAAGGGGAATACGTTATGAAGGAAATAAATATTAATGAAAAATAACGATAATATCATCATTGGACGTCCGTGTGGCTAGCTTTACATCTAACCTGTTGTTTGGTGTGACGGTGGAACCAAGATATTTAAATTTTGACACTTTAACCGTATTTAGACAATCAATGTGTATATCATCGCAGTCTTCGGACAAACCGGTTGGTGGTTGATACGTCATCTCAGTCTTTTTGATGTTTATCCTGAGGCTAAATGCTGTGGCAGAGTGTGCAAATAGGCTGATGATTTCTTGAGCTTCATGGTAGCTGTGAGCAATGAATGCTGTGTCATCGGCGAATATTAGTTCCCGGACAAGAACCGGCTTTGTTTTTGTTTTGGATTTGAACTGATTGACATTGAACAAGTCGGCCCCTGGGCGGCTTTCGATCCATACACCGTGATTTGAATCTCTGAATGCGTGCTTAAGCACCGCAGCTGAATAGATGGAGAATAATGCAGGAGCTAAAGCACACCCTTGCTTCAGTCCAATGTTGACACCAAATTCACGCCTTTGCCACGCACAGATGCCTTCATGCCAGGATGGAGAGCCAAGATAAGCTTGATCCAGATTTCGGGGCAACCCACTCTCTTTAGAACTTTCCACAGCGTTATTCTGCTCATATTGTCGAAAGCTTTGGTGAAATCGACAAAATCATGTACAATGGCATATTCTGCTCAATACATTTCTCCTGGATTTGCTTGAGGCAGAATATCATGTCCACTATCCAGCGTCCTCCACGGAATCCACAATGAGCTTCAGGGAGAAACTTTCAGCGTATTTAGTCAACCTGTTCAGCAGGACACGTGCAGACACCGTCCCTGGTATAAAGAGGAGTAAAATACCGCACATCCATCTATCGCCTCCCTTCTTGATGACTTCAGCTGGAATGCCATCTGCACCAGGAGCTTTCCAATTGCATGTCCTGTTGATAGCCTAGGCAATCTCATCAGTATCTGGACATTCGGAAATCCAGTCTTGGGTTGGAGATTGGTCAACCATCTCGATGATGTTGGGGTCAATAAGTGTCGCGTCATTTAATAGTGCCTTGATGTGCTCCATCCATCTGTGGAGAAGATATTTTTTCTCACATAGCAATGTTTCATTGTCCGAAGCCAGCAGTTGTTCGGGGCTGTTGGCCGTGGGCCCCAGAAAGACCTCACACTACAGTAGAACCTTTTCATATCATTGCAGTCAGCATACTCTTGGAGCTCAGCTGCTTTGGCAGAAAATAGTTCATTTTTATGTATAAAACAACGATAATAAATTTGGTAATTATATTAATAAGGACAAGAAGGAATAATGCGGAAAGACGACATGAAAATTACACAAAGCAAGGACCAAATCCCCAAAACACGACAGTGTGACAAACAAGGCAGAAATGCACTAGGAAAGAAGGAAAATTTGGAAAACAAAAATAATTTAGAAGAGGCCTTGAATCGACCCAAAGACGACTGTGTTTTAAAAGCCTTATCAAGACCATTTTACAAACGTGGCCCCTGAAATCTAAGTGTTCTAAAAGTGTATGTTGTGCGGGTGAAAGGAACGTAACGATTGTGAAGACACCGAGTGCTGTGCCCATGAGTATCGCGAACTGCTGAAAAGTGGGATATGATGAAAAGGTAGCCTAGAAGGATGAAGTTTGTCAATGAACTTATACATGAAACTGCTGATGTGAAACTTGTTAACGTCATTTAGAGTTAATGTGTTGAGTCTAGAAAAGAGAGGTGCAGAATGGTCACTCCAAGTATGTTTGTCGATATTTGTTTGTTTATGATGATATTCGTAGACCAGACCTGGGTAATGGGTGTGTTGTCCTCCCCTGATTTTTTGAGAACGGGAAGAATGGATCAAGTTGTAAGTAATCACGTGAACATACGGAGGAGTAGTTTCTCTAAACCACGTTTCTATGAACCCACAGATGGTGAAGTCTCAAGAGTGTAGAAATAAAGTCCTGTATATCGTAGAAATGTCTGCAGAGGCTCCTGGAAGTCATTTAAAAAATTGAAAAAGAACCTTCTTCTTGAATGTTTATGCCGTTAAACTCATCTCGAACAAATTTAAGCGTACGTTGTCGCCAACATTATCAAGCAAATCATAGAAGTTACATAGCACAACACCTTATGAAAGCATAAAAAGCAAAAACAAAAACTATGCAAGGGGGGAAACAGTTAAGTAGAAGACAGTAAATGGGGGTTAACAAAAGAAGAATGTATTTACAGCAAGAAAAAGAGGGATGAAGTGTATTTATATAAGACCGACTATCAAACAAACAAGATAACAAAGATGGAAACTAGAGCTTGAATAAGACAAAGAAGTAATGACTAAAACGAATGTAGTCAGTAAGGTGAGCAATCAAGATAATCAAGAGCGATCACTCTCTCAGGTACAAACTGAAAGGTGACACGTGAAACAACTGGAGGTAAATAAAAAAAATGCAATTGTCAATGTTCTGGCATTGAGCAGCAGAAGCAAAGGAAACGTAGGTGGGGATAGTGATATTTGGTGGGCTTGGTTGTAAAATTGAGGTAGAGAGCCACCCTTACCCCTCCACTTGCCAGTTTTTATATATAAAATGACATCCCATTGTTAAACCTGGTTCGGATGAGTTTTAATAATGATTTTTTTCCAGGTCGTGATTTGCACTGCCGGGACCTTAATTAGTCCAACTGCACCGGCCAAGTTGTATTTTAGTCCTCCGACCGGGTACATCGAGGCTTACTGCGCGTTTGGCTTCGGATCGTTGGTGTCCACCCTGTTCAATCTCCTCTTGGTTTTGGCCTGCTGCTACTACGCTTTCAAGGCTCGCAAGGTGCCCAGCAACTACAACGAGTCCAAGTTCATCGCTATCAGCGTGTACTCTACGCTGGTCTTCGGCATGGCAGCCGTCCCCGTCTACATCACGGCCACTACCGTTCTGCAGAAAGTTGCGACACTGTGCGTGGCCATACTGCTCAATGCCGTCTTGACTCTGCTCTGCGTCTACCTGCCCAAGATCTATGCCATTCACTTCCAGCTGGACGTCCAACTTTGTGAGTGGAGGAGCTCCGCAGTTGGTTTGGCTGACGCTGGGTCTGAAATATCGGCTTCTCAATCTGGTGTGCAGCCAATGTAATACCCATACGCAGTCAACTAAGGCAAGTTAGTTATAGAAATTTGCAGTTGGAGGGTACTCAACGTTTCGGACAGTATGCTCTACCCGTTGTCAGCAGACTGCCGACTGAGACAGTTAATCGAATGAGAATTTATATTTCAACAGATCTTTAGCCATTCCTATTCACTGTTTGCTGACTATCCTTGCACTTCTGTCTGTAATACTCATACTAAAATTCGCATGTTAATGTATGTATCGTTTAAGTCGAGAAGTGAATCCATTTTAATGGGCTTATTTTGTCGATTTCACTGGGACTCAATTCATTGCTGAATGCTTATCAACAACTGCCAACAACTACTTTCTGCACTCATTGTAGGTCAGGTGTGTATGTGTCTTTTGTCTAAATATATTGCTTGTGTCTGATATAGGGAGTGAAGGGGCGTGGACACTGAGATATACCAACCCCTTTCAAGGGCTGTGCTCTCTCCCCCCCCCCGCGACCTCACATTGCGAAATAGAGATTAACGGTGCTTCAACGTGAACAAAACGCACTGAAAGCCCTCCAGCAATGACATCCTCAAAATGTCATCCACTCATTCCAATCTATAAGCAACCCATTTAGTAGTTGTAGATTACTGAACGGAATCAAATTCAAAACACCAAAAAAATGAGAGTGATATGAAAGGGGATTTGAGCAAGAGTAATAATCACAGCATACCCTACCATAAATTCAACGCTGTCTGACAAAGGTTAGTGTGCGGCATGTCATATGTTGTGTCGTTCATCAAGGTTCGGGATCATGAGAAAGCAACACCACAGATGCTATTCGACGAAAACTGCACTTGGGTCTAAATAATTTATTAACTCCAGAACTCATATTTTGAAGAACATAATACAGAAATAAATCATACCGACTGGGCGTTGTCGACACAGCAACGTGGCAGAAATATAAAGACATTATTACGTAATCCAACTGACAAATGAATAGGCAATTCCACCTAGCTGGTGTATTCAAATAAACGTGAAGACTGTTTCACAACAACATTACGGCAGAAATAACTGGCGGAAAATAATCTTGAAGTTGGCAACATACAATTGCATGATTACCAGCCAAAAAAGCAAGAAAACTGAAAGAAAAGAAAAACAAAACCACCATTTCCCGTTCGAATCCACCGGCCCTTATTAAACTGGCTCAGAATTTGGAGAAAAAACTCATGTCAAAAACCACGTGACTGCATATCTTGCTCAATGGCGTCTCCAGATTTAAGCTGACGTCTATACACATATGAATTGCCATCGCAGTTCCTTAAAAAATATCCTGTCTCCTCATATGTCTCCTCTAACGGCAACCCTAAACGTATTTATATATCGGTATATAACCTTTCCCGTGGCGTCACTTAGGCAAAATTTCACAGACACCCATATTTTTCCCAAGGGGAAAGTATTAAATAATCAGCGGTTCGCGTATAGAATTCAGGAAATGTTCCTTGTTTCAAAGGGGAAAAGACTCGAGTAAAATCCGTTTGTTCTCCTATCAGATACACACCACTGCATGTTGTATACATTTTTTGATAGCAATCACAATTTTTTGTCAAGACTTTTGCGCGTGGTTGTCTTTTGTGTCTAATTTCACACTCAACTTGTTCCATGCGTCACTCCCGTTTCATATATCATAAAGTAAAGGGACGTAATTTTGGCCCATCTGCATGTATGATAATTACTTATTCTCTTTGTAAAAAAAACGAACTAATGAACACAACTGAAATAATTATTTGCACTGCTTGTTTGAAAACTGCGTTTCCAAAGGGAATCGACTGAAGGGAGGTGAGGCTTTGAGGGTCGTGCCTGCCCAGCAGCTGGGCAGGGAAGAGTCATTTTTACGCTAGACTTGCTTCTCTCCACCTATGGGTATAAAAGGACAGAGGAGGTGTTGTTGAGTTTGATCACTTGCTTGCGCCTGATGTGGTAGCACCGAGCTTTGTGCTGCATCAAGGACGGATCCAGAACCAACTTTTACGGGCGGCAGACATACTTTTCAGCAGGGCCAAATAAGTTGGAATTTTTTTCGTGTAACCTTTTGTGGCCTCTCAGTGTGGTTTTTGAAAGAAAGGATTCGAAATGGACCCCCCACACATACACACACATAATTGCATTTCTCTTATCTTTATCTTTTATCAAAAAGCTCCTTTTTGGTGAGAGGCCATGGCCTCGTTACCGCCTCCTCCGGATCCGCCTTTATCCGCCTGTTCTTCGAATGTCTAAAAGCATGAGGAGTGATTATCGGTAGTAGTTATCTCGCACCTCGAACACAGATTATAGTTTGTAATTTCTTCTTCAACACTTAATCTTTATTAGACGTCACGACCGCACTTAACGAACAATTCTGCAGCATTTTTTAGATAAAGCTAATGTGTTAAACCGTTAAATGAAATCTCACTGTCACTGCTTGTAACAATTTGTACTAAAATCACTACATCCTATATGTAGCCGCTCCAGTTGATTTGTTTAACAAAAGCCTGTACTAAGATCTTGGAGTGTTTTTCGAATTCCAGGTAACTCATGACTCTCTCAAAAAGTTAGCATGCACAGCATTAAAAACGCAAAATTAGTAGACATCGATCTTCGTAAGGCACCACCAGTGTGCACATTGGCCATCAATCTTATGCACCTCAGAGACCCCCCCCCCAGTTTTCAAGACTGCTCGAGAAATGTGGCATCTGTTTTGCAGGAATTTGCTCTCTCCCTCAATACTTCAAACTATTGCTAATAAAATTCTCCCAGATTAACCCTTGGCAGAGCTTAATCCTTATTTCAACTAACGGGTTTTTCTACTGTTTTTCTCAGAACTCGGTAGAGGGAGTGGCCTCTCCTGGCGAGTCCATTGGAGCTAATTAACATATAATTGTTTTTTAATATAGAAGTGGTAATGGTTTTTTGCACGTATATGGGCGGGTCTTGTGTACTCAAATAATCATTTTAGTGACGTTTACAATAAATGTGCACAGTAAAACTGATGTTAAAAAACCTTCATAGTGTTGCTTTTCTTGCATGTTTTGTACAAAATACATATTTTGTCGAAATCTTTACGATCCGACTATGGTTGAACATGTCCAAATGCTTCTAATGAATTAGGTTTGACGAAGTGATGAAGATATTTCTGAAGTCACAAGTATACTATTAAGGTGTCCGTTGAATGTGCCACAGTATAGTTCTACCCATCTCTGGAATGAACTGGTTCTTTTGTGCCCTTCTTATCCATTGAGAATAGTGTATTGTTGCAAAGCGTTTCTTATGTAATCAAGGAAAAGCTTGCCGGGAATCACGAGGTATTATACCCAGCAAGAAATGAGACCGAGGGGTACCCCCCCAACATGTTTAATCCCTATACACATTCCAGACTATTGTTACTTAACACATCCCCCCCAAAATGTCTGAAAAGAATTCCCCAGATTCCTGGGAGACAATGACCAGCACAAAGCAGGGGGGGGGTTCTCTCCGTCTCATACTTGCTGCATATGCGAGGTATATCAACAGTGGTTTTAGTATGAAGAATTCTAATTGTTATGCTCACGTGAATTTAAAGAACTCAGTGTACCAGATTTTATTCAAATTTAACTCGCAAAGGCTTATTCAATTTGTGTGTGTCTTCTTTGTCGGTAGTTGAGTTCTTTTCTCATTCATAATGACAACATTTTGCGCTAGCCACTTAGAAGTGGTGAGTTATTAAACTGTAAGGCAAAGCGTTTCGCTGTAGACTTTGATCCCTCTGTAAAACGAATAATGTCAATCCAGACGTCAACAGAAAGGAGAAAATCAGGTTATGGCGTTTAAGGCACGGACGTATATTTAAAAAGTGGACTTGCAACGCCTTAGTATGAAAAGGAAGCCAACCAGCGGCCATTTTACCGAGCCGAATACAAAGCGTGGGTTGGCTCCCTTCTATTGACGTCAGGAAGATCAAAGGCGGGCATTGCCAGGAAAGCTTTGTATTCGGCTCGGTAAAATGGCTGCGAGTGGATTCAATGACTCTATAAGCCGATTAAGGGCATTGTCAGTCCAGATTTTATTATACACGTCCGAGGCTTTAGGTGCGATACCATGCACGATATGGGGCCGATGGGTACCCTCCCCCACATGCCCAATCCCTATACACACTTTAGACTATTGTTACCTAACACACTCCCCTAGAATTCCGTACAGAATTCCTGAGATTCCGATCAAACAACGACCAACACAAAGGCGTCATGTTAGGCGCGCTAAACCATGCATGAATAGACTTGACACGCTGGTGAAGTAATTCCTTTCGAGCCGCATATGTATCGTTGATGATTTATTTACCGAAGGAATTTTGAACTCGTTACTTTTGTGTTGTTTTTAATGATGCACAGGCCAGCCACACATGATGCACTGACGAAAAAGGCATGAAGTGTAGCTTCTGCAAATGCACATGCACATAATTTTTAGGATATTTTTACCCTAATTTGCAAGTTTGTTTTCTCTTTTTATTCTCCCCGCTTCCCCCATTTTAGGGGCATTTTGACCCTTTGAACATTTATGCTGATGAAGATTGTAATATTTCAGGGTAAGAGTGTGACATCGTTTCAGGACGAAACCTCGGTGTTAACGTTTATCGGCACTGAATATTTGCCAGGGCACTCAGTTTTGATCGTGTGTCTTTTGCAATCTGGTCCTCTTCGGTGATTATCTGTGGCTTCTTGAAGCAACAGTTTCCTTGTCAGGAAAAGCAAATTGATTTTTCAGTGCTTCAAAATGCAGTTTTCAAAAACATTATACCCCGAAACGGTTTACTTGGACATGATGATGGAAAGTACGTACAGTGGTGTGCAAAATTATTTGAACACGGCATATTTTAGGTAAAGTGTACACGTACATATATCTGTTAGTTCCCTGTCATGAAATGGCAATCAGTACACTATGAATATATCCATGATAATATAATATTACTTCCATGCTGCGAAATTTGTCATTTTGATTTTAGAAAAACCTTGTTTATTAACAGGGGTAGGTCGTGTCGGGTGGTAATTTGTATAACGCTACCAACAGTCCATCTGGTCAGCACCACTATTGAGTCAGAATGTTCATATCAAAGCGGTAAAAAATCCCTGTATTGCATACAGTTTGGTTGAGTTATAAAGGGAGTTAATCAACTACATGAACATCTAAATTGTGAGGAGCTTCTGGAGTTGGAAAGCAAAGCTTCATTTTGTTTTGCAAATGTGTCAGACTTAATCACTAAGGAGTCTCCCCTTAAGTCACGTGGACCGTGTCCGTGTCACATTAAGACATTTCTTCATGTCATTTGTGAGCATTCACTTCCTGAAAAATAATCAACGAAATGCCAAATGCATCTACGTTGAAATGTAGAATACATCGTTATATGGCATGTACTACACAGCTACTCCTTAGAGGCGGATCTACCCAAACAAATCCTGGACGAGGATTGCCCCGTCCATATATCCACCTATAGTCAAGTTTTCTTTTCATCAGGGAACGGTGCATGATGCTTTCGGACCCCCTGACTCGGTTCTGCAGCTGTACTGAAGAAAGCATAAACAGTGTAAATAATTATACGATGTTATGCCTATTGTTTTGGGCGTATTTCGTCATTAATAAAAATCATACTGGTAATCAAAATTTCTGTCCATGAAAGTGCAATAATTTAAGACTCCTTCAGCAATTCAATTGAGACTCAATTCCTTTCCGATACAAATTATTCAGGTCGTAACGAATGCTCAGTTTTCGCCATTTGTATTCTCCGAAAGAAAGGTTAAAACGGTTATTGAAATACAATTTAACGCTGGGGGAAATGAATGCAAACAACCTGAAAGATATGCACGTAAATATAGCAGGAACAGAAATTAATTACTATAACTATGTAGAAGGGCTCTGCAAATAAAAAACAACACTGGTGGTGAACAATAATTTTATTTGTTGCGCTCAGACTCAACCAGCATATAATCGGTTTTTCAGTATAGCGTGATTGAATCGGTGACATCAATGGAAGTCCATCGCTTGTAGAATTGACTTGATTTGCAGCAGTGGTGAAACCAGGATTAGTTATTAGAGTGGAGGGGCTTGGACCAGAATGTACCCCTAAAATGTACTCAGGATGCTCACCCCCACTCCCCGTTGCGCCATGCAGATTACGGGTAGTAGTTAAATATTTAAGGGCATAATAATTGTATCTTCCTTTTTCGAAAAGAAAGGAAAATGGGTTCATGCCCTGTAAGTCCTTATTTTTTAGAACATCTCGCATAGAAGAAGGTGTATTTATAAACTACATGCTGTAGTGTTGAACACAGCACCGAGGAATGCTACTTGTAACGTAGCCGAACAAACATGTTAACGGTTTCCTCGTTCAGTCTTCAATTTCAACTGGCATGCACTGTCAATTCTGCCCAAATTTAAATGCAGTTTTAGACCGCAGGGTTCCAATTGTTAGTCGATTGAACGTCCAACTTAGCTTTCTGCACACAATCGTGATTACGACAATCACATGTAACGGCACACTCCATCAATGTGACCTCATTCTTAAGTCCGAACTGAAATGAAAGTAAGGTTAACTTATTCAGGCCTACTTTGAGAGCCTCAAAATACAAATAAAAGCAATGAAATGAAAGTTCATTAGAGATTAATTCCATTCGTGATGAAAAATACAACATGTAATTTGAAATTTGTAATTTATCTTATCTAAATGTTTTAGGCAACATTTTAAAAATGGAAGTGATGCACGAAACCCAAAGTAGTCTGGCCCCACCCCCTTTGATAACATACATTTAAAAAGACATACTCGGGGAACGTGATCACAGCTGGCTTAATTTTGAATAAGGTCTATTGAAAATTACCAGCAAAGAACATTCAATTTTGGCAAAGCCTTCGTTTGAGAAGTCAATGTGTTTAAGCAGATTACAGTCATCTGAAATTGAATTCCTCAATTGGCAAATATTTTTCAAAATTTCCCAATGTGATTTAATTAATTACCTCATATTACTCATACAATGGGTAATACACATAAATGAAAGGGTGATATCCATTAGAACAGTATACATTCGAAAATAAACATATTGGTATTGTCGCTGGTTCTATCTGGATGACAAATATACCACTGGACATTCAAGGACACTGAAAAAGGGATAAAAACGTGTAGAATCCACGAGACTAAGTCCATTTTTTTCGTTTCCTTTAATTTCGCTCCCTGTTTCTCCTTTCAAAGACTATATAAATACGTCAATGCGCAAAGAGCCGAAGGAACTACGCTTACATGGAAAAAGACTCAGGAATTGAAGGGCAGGTACATCATTAAAGTGAGGTGTCTCAAATTGAAGTTTGATCTGGTGCTATTTCACCGAATGGCGTCGACAAGCAAACTTTATCCTGAAACGAAACTGAACGTCATGAAAATGGACATTAGAAGACCCATGAGGAGTACCAGTCAATTTGCTCGAAGGTGCACTTCCCCGAAAGGAATTAATTACATTTTTGAGGAATTAGAGTCAGACACCTTAGATTAAAATGAATAAGCAAGTTTTGATTACAACAATAATAGAGATGCTCTCTTTTCAGTTTCTGTAATCGGGAATCTCCTGCTAATTAAGCATTTCCAATTAGACTTTCAAATCATACTAACATAGTCTGCGATAACGTCAGCCTAATGTACTGTACCACAACTGGCAAACAAATAACTCAGGTGTCCCAATTAAGCTTAGGCGTGATCGTACCGTTTAATTATTATAGCCTTTCCATTATTCAACCTGAAAAGCGGGAAAACGCAGACAGAAATAAAAGCAGTAAATGTTCAAAAAAATCCAAATTAAAATGTTCTGCATAGGGCAAAGTACTTTCTAATGCCGATCTTCCTGTTCAGTACCCATCGACTACGCATGGACGGCGGCCTGTTCTTGAGAATGTATTGAAGTCAGAATTGCAAAGTGCTTGCATAGCTTACACCGAGAGTGGCAGCGGTCACAAGTTCGAAGGATTTTCGTTCAGGTCGTCTGCTATAGATGTAAAATTCACTGGGCACCTTTCTTCAATAAAACCGTTTATTACAGACACAAACCAAGCATCTTTCCCTTTTCCTGGCTTCGTGAGTGGATAAAATAGGTCCACTCAGGACAAGCCGATATCTAGCCCTGGAATAGCTTTAACAGTTCACGAAAACCACTGTTTCTTTCAGTTTAATTATGATGTTATCACTGGTTCCGGTTTTTCTGTCCACGCCATTTGTACTGTCAACCGCTGGTATCATTCCGGACACGGTGCACGTTAGTATGAACAGTCCCGGGGATGTCATTCTTGGGGCATCCTTTGCTATACATGGATATTCCCCCCCCCCACCTGCCTATCTGCAGCGGAGTGATTGAGAGATGGAATCACGAGAGTGCAGTCGTGGTACTGTTCGCCATCGAGGACCTCAACAATCGCACAGACCTCTTGCCAAACGTAACTATCGGCTACGACATTTGCGACAATTGTTACTCGGAGCCTGTGTCAAAGTCTGTCAGCCCATTATCCCGACCCCGCCCAGCTGGAGCGAGCCCACAGTCATTGCCATCCTGATCCTGTCCGCCTTTGGACTAGTCCTTTCCCCTCTGGCAGCGTTCGGAATCTACTACTACCGACGACACGTGTTGATCAAAGCCGCCAGTTGTGAACTTAGCAGCATCAACATCTTAGGGCTCACGCTGGCCTTCCTCGCTCCCTTCCCACTTCTGATTCCACCGACTGCTGTCTTGTGCCGTGCATCAGAGATCATCGTCGCTTTGTGTTTCACTCTGACGTATGCCCCGACCCTTCTGAAAGTCAACCGCATCTACAGGATCTTCGACGCCGGAAAGAAGTCTAACAAGCGTCCTTGCTACACGGGTGCCACGGTTCAACTCATCTTCGTTCTCGGTATCATTGCATCGATGGTGAGTACAAGTCACAAAAACAGGGTTTGCATTTTTTCTAAGTTCTTGCATAATGGTTCAAAATGCTATCTCTTCCTGAAGCCTTCTTTGGTTAGGGACAGTTTATGCCGAATGTGCTTTTTGTAGGTTGCAGTTGCCATGACTGGTGCATTGGCAAGTCCTACACTGCCAGCTAAGCTGTATTTCTTCCCTCGACGTAACTACATCGAGGTATTCTGCCAGTTTGGGAACGGTTTCTTGGCATCCCTCGTTTCCGATATCCCCTTGATCTTGGCCTGCTGCTACTACGCTTTCAAGGCTCGAAAGGTTCCCAGTAACTACAACGAGTCAAGATTCATCGCCATCATCGTGTACTCTACGCTGGTCTTCGGCATGGCGGCCGTCCCCGTCTATATCACAGCCACCACCGTTCTGCAAAAGGTTGCAACGCTTTGCGTGGCCATACTGCTCAATGCCTTCTTGACGCTGTTCTGCGTCTACCTTCCGAAGGTATACGCAATCCAGCTAGACAGCAATGTAGAGATTAGCTAGTGGAGAGTCTCGGGCGCTGGAGCACCGGATCAGACTAAATCAACTACCGCTCCTTCAAGTCGCCGGACAGCCAAAGTACAACCGGAATCACCGGATGACAAGAAATAAAAAGGAAAAAAATGCGTAACCTACGGAATGGTAAGATGGCTGGAAAGTTAATAAATAAAGTACACATTAACAAGTAGTCATGCATTAGAGGTTTTAAAAGGCGCATTTCATAAAGTGCAGATGATGTCGAAAAAAGCAAGGGAAACCGAGCGTTGTTTGTCCGTATGCAGTTCGGCACTAGAACTATATAGCCTCGATTTCACAAAATCATTTTTTTTTAAGAATGGCACTGTTTCCTTTGTCTTTAATGTTGATGCTGTATTTTTTTTCATTGGCTCGGTTTGTGAAAGAGAGTTTCATCCTCATCCGTTGCATATCACATAGGCAGTCTTCTCTGGCGCTGCTTGAGTATGACCTCACAGACTAGTCAGCACCCAGCTTACGAACGACAAAGAAGGGACTGCAAACCATACTATCTTAAGGTCAATGGTACCCACCCTAGTTTCACCTACATGTATTGTGCACATATGTGAAAGGGTGGACGGAAGCCAGTTTGGTATTTCAACTGCATGTGCACGCAGCAAAATTTGACATTTTCCTTTCGGGGTAAAGAACTGGCGATAAGCGTGCAGTCTCAGCGGGTAACAACGAAATTAAAGAAAAGTTATTGGTTTGAAATAAATGCAAAAGCTTACAAACATGTATGCATATGCTTCAAGGAAACTAACTATCTTTTTGATCGAAGGAAAACAAGATGCGACCTGCTGAAAATAGTCAGCAGTTCCCTCTGGATTTGTGTCCAGAAGAGTCTAGTTTTTTTGAGGTGGGAGCTAGTTTACGCAGGCACGCGTTCATAGCAAGACACCTTACCAAGAATGCTGTTAATACGCCGTGTCCGAATCAACCGGCTCCGCGAGCAACAGATCCAAAAAGCTACCATTGCGGATAAGAGCACCGTACTGTACTTCGAGCCCCAGCAATAATGTGGTAACCACCATGTAACAAATCAAAGTGATAGTGGATGTACCGTGCTAATGTTCACACAGGGTGTAGTCCACTAATTCAAGCCCCATTGAAAATAGTGTAAAATCAGCATTGTTCAGGGCCCAATAACGTGCATGCCAACATCCCTGAGGTTTATGAAACACACGTTAAATTGTTATATGGTCCACAATCTCTCAAAACATTTTAAATTTTTTGTGGGTTTACCGATTACATTTTTAGTTATTCCCACAAATCAAAATTACCCTCCGATAAGTGATTTTTCCGAAGTCCGCTTGCAGACATTTTTCAAGTGGCAACCCTCAACTTTCTTGGGCACTTAGGACCATTTTTCAACCGTGTTTTTTAGCCATTCTACTCTCAGAAGAAAGTCCCAAACCCAGGGAGTTCATCCTGGCAAAGATTTACACAATCTCACCATTTTAGGAGTCTTTAAACCTCCTTTTTCAAAAGATACTGTGGGGGAAATTAATGCCAATTAGCTGGCCAAAGATTCTGACTGCACTCTTCACGTACATTAGTTTGTGCTTGCGGCAGCTAGACAGCTGGTTGGTCGGTAGATGGCGCCTCGTCTCATGTATTGGAAACTCGCTCCGTTCGATATTTAACGATCGCTTCCTTACTGCAAATGCAATAAGCGATTAAAACTTCGTTCTACACTGCAACCTATCAACATAGGTGGCACTTTGTTAAAAATATTGCAGCTCGTGTTCTCTATATTGTGTGTTGGTTCTAAATTTATTTATTTCTACATGGTCTCATGTTTCACTCATTGGCCGAGTTCGGGTGGCTTGCTCGATTTGTTGTTCGTGGGTCGGTCGCTCGAAAGCCGGGAACAAGCAATCGGTTATCGATGGTAGTTAGTGACAAGCAACATGGCGGCGTCCATGTAGGCTACGTTATTCGAGAGTTGATGTTTGGATGGGCTGAATTCTTTTATATATATAAACAGGAACATTCGTTTCTGTGTTACGGAAAATAATTATTGTTAATTTTACAAAACTTCCCATTGTCTTTGGCTTTGAAGCCATCTCTCTACTTTTTGCAGCTGTTCAAAAACAAAATCTCACGAGTTTTCCGTGTGTTCCTGTAAAACCCTGACGAGGAGGTGGTGTGTGATCCTGTTCCGAGAACAGTGTTCTTGAGTCGTGTTCCCGCCGTTCGAGCGCAAGAACAAGAAACCCGTGTGAAGAACAAGCCGCCCGAACTCGACCTTAAATACATCTGTTTCAGTTCATACGTAACACAAGAACAGTGTCCTTGTGAAATGACGTCTCAGCAGCAGCACCCGCAGGAAAAGCTGAGAAACATTCAATGTTTACCTGAGGTGTTATATTCATAACACTGGAGAGGACTAAACGGCTGTGGAAAATAGAAAAAAAATCGTAGTATGCTCTATTTATGGCACGAAACGTTAAAGTGCGCACACCGGATGTACTCATTACAAAGAGCACCCAAAGGTGAACTGTGCCAAGGCGTTCAATCCCCTTCCCGCTTTTGGGTTGGTTCTTGCCAACTTGCCACTCTCTCGCCAGAGTGAGATACCACTTTAAAAAAAATAAAAATTACAGGTGGCATTTATTGGCCTACGCTTCCTTTTGCATCCTTTTGCAGCCGTCACCGGCGAAATTTAATTAAACCATATTTAGCCCGACACAAGCACAGTAACTGTTTTTTAGGACTTAAGTCGTTGTGACTTCGGAAGATGTGGTAATCAGACCATTCTACAATTTTCGACTAATTTCCTTCATGAAAACTTTTACGAAGCCACGAATCAGAAAAAGAAAATGCAATACTCTGTAATTACATGAAAATGTTGGAGTGAATTTAAACTTAATCGAAGAAATCTTTCTTAAATTTTCGGGACAAAAACGTCGATAGCTAGCTGGGTATCCAGCTGGGAGCGTATCATGCGATCTCCTGTTTCAAAATGCTTTCTTTTTACCAAATTAACCTAAAAAGGCACCGCGTAAAATCAACCAGTGGTTGACAATTGATGGTCGAAAATTGGCATTTTGACGTGAAAACCCTGTTTATTAACAGCAATGAATAGTCGAGTCGCAAAGTCGAGATCTTGGGTATTTGAAATACCAACTGGCTCATTGATATTGTGCTTACAATGGATATCAAAACAGTGACTGAAGCCGGAATACCATTTAATCTTATTCGAAGACGCACATCCCCCAAATTAATTCAACTGTATTTCTGATTAATTAAAGATGGAATACCTTAACTTCAAAATAATTAGCAAGTTCTGATAATAATAATACAGGTAATAATAGTACTACTAATAAAGGTGTTCTCTTTTAATTTTCACTGTTGTGAATCTCCTCCTAATAAAGTTTTGCCAATTAGGCCTTTGAAATCACACTAATATAATCTCCGATAACGTCAGTCTTGTGTACTGTAACGGGCAAACAATAAGGTGAGTTGTTCCAATCTTGCTTATAGGCATAATCTTACCGTTTAATTGTTACGTTTTCTATATGCAGCCTGAAAAGCGGAACAGGGCAGAGAGAAATAAAAGCAGAAAATAGGGAAAAAATCCAGATTAGAAAAAAATTTGCGCAGGGCAAAGCACTTTCTGTTTAATGCCAATTTATCTGCTCAGTACCCAGCGACTACGCATGGGCGGCGGCCTGTTCTTGAGAATGTATTTCAGTCAGAATTGTTCGTACCTACATAACACACTTACACCCAGACTAGCAGCGGTCACACGTCCAAGGATTGTCGTTCACGTCATCAACTATAGAGTTTGACCGTATTGAGCGCAGATTTTCCAGCAACTCTTTTAGAGACTCAAACCTTCTTTGGCTATTTTGGCCCTGTGAGTGGACGAATTAGTTTCGCTCAGGACAAGCCGAGATCTAGCCCCAGAATTGTTTGAACATTTCGTGGAATTCACTGTTTCTTTTAATTTACCTCCAAATATGTTGTCATCACTGGTTCTGATTTTTCTCTCCACGGCAGTTGTCTTATCATGGGCTGGTATCATTCCCGATACAGCTCACGTTAGTATGAACAGTCCCGGGGATGTAATTCTTGGGGCATCCTTTGCTATTCATGCATACTCCTCTCCGCAGCTGCCCACTTGCAGCGGACTGATCGAGAGATGGAACCACGAGGGTGCAGTCGTGGTACTGTTCGCCATCGAGGGCATCAACAATCGCACAGACCTCTTGCCAAATGTCACCATCGGCTACGATATTCGCGACAATTGTTACTCGGAGGGTCTGTCATTGTGGTCTGCTTTCAGCTTAGCTAGCACATCTGAGAAACCACAGGAGGATATCCAGTTTACAAAGATCCACACGCCGGCTCACGGCAAGCTCATTGGTATTATCGGGACGCAGTCGAGTTCAACCTCAATTCCAACTGCACAAGCCGCCAGCCTGTTTCACGTTCCTGTCATCTCTCCGTTTGCCACGAGCAACGAGCTTAGCGACAAGCGGCGGTTCCCGTATTTCCTCCGCACCGTCCCCCCAGACAGTCTCCAAGCGTCGGCCATCGTTGATATCCTGCAGCATTTCGGATGGAAGTACATTGGACTGTACTTCCAGCTAAGTGCTTACGGAATTCACGGTGCGCAGGGCGTTCTAGATCTCACAGACGAGCGCGGCATATGTGTTGCATTCTCGGTGGCACTCCGCACAGAAGCACAAACAGGCGAACTTGAAGAAGCAGTTGCCAAACTAGCAATCTTTCGCAAAGCGCGGGTGGTGGTGATATTCGGCAACACTGGCATTGCAAACAGGATTTTCAGGACAATTGCAAGCAAGGAAGACATTGCCTCGCTTAATATTACTTTCATTGGAAGTGACGGGTGGGCAAGCCCAAATACGCTCTTCAAATACGGAGTTGACCTCACCCGACTGGGTGGAACCCTTTGGGTTGATCTCAAGTATGCTCTCATTCCTGGTTTCCTCGATTATTACCGTTTCTTACAAGCTAGCGGGAAAAATTTCAGCCCATGGTTTGAGGAATTGAAGCGTTATTGGATGGAACAACATGACTGTACCGATTTTAACCTGTGTCCAATATCAATCACTAGTAGTTCTGTTTTCATAGTCGATGCAGTTTATGCATTTGCTTATGCCCTCCAAGATTTCTTGACGGATCATTGCAATTCGAGTGACTGCAACGCAACACTTCAAGCCCTCTCGGGTCATGATCTCCTTCCATATCTACACAAGTTGACTTTTGAGGGGCTGGGAGGCCATTACAGTTTCGACTCAAATGGAGACCCTGGCGGAAAATATAGGATACTCAACCTCCAAATCAGAGATGACAACAGCTACATAATTACTGAGGCTGGGACATGGGGTGTGGTAGCACACAATCGCCTCAACATCAACACATCAGCTATTCAATGGGCTGATAGAACAACCGACCCTCCGGTCTCAGTTTGTCGAGACATCTGCACGTTAGGATACATTGAGGTACCTCTGGAGCAAAAATGCTGTTTTGGTTGCCTACGATGTCCAGATGAAGCCATAGTTAGTGACAAAGAGTGCAAACGATGCCCTGTAAACGAGTGGCCAGACGAGAATTTCAAAATTTGCCGACCGATTGTACCAACCCCGCCCAGCTGGAGCGAGCCCACGGTTGTTGCCATCCTGATCCTGTCAGTCTTTGGACTAGTCCTTTCCCTTTTGGCAGCGCTCGGAATATACTACTACCGACGACACGTGTTGATCAAAGCCGCCAGTCGTGAACTTAGCAGCATCAACATCTTAGGGCTCACGCTGGCCTTTTTAGCTCCCTTTCCGCTTCTGGTTCGACCGACTCTTGTCTCATGCCGTGCATCAGAGATCATAGTCGCTTTGTGCTTCACTCTGACGTATGCCCCGACCCTGCTGAAAGTCAATCGCATCTACAGGATTTTCGACGCCGGGAAGAAGTCCAACAAGCGTCCTCGTAACATCGGTCCCAGGGTCCAACTCATCTTCGCTCTCGGCATCATTGCATCGATGGTGAGTACGAATCACAAAAACACAAAAGTCTGCATTTTTTTGTAAATTCGCTCACAATTGTTATCTCTCCCTAATGCCTTCTTTGTTTGGGGATATTTTATACAAATTCTTTTTGTAGGCTGTGGTTGCCATGACTGGTGCATTGGCAAGTCCTACACTGCCAGCTAAGCTGTATTTCTTCCCTCGACGTAACTACATTGAGGTATTCTGCCAGTTTGGGAACGGTTTCTTGGTATCCCTCGTTTCCAATCTCCTCTTGGTCTTGGCCTGCTGTTACTACGCTTTCAGGGCCCGCAAGGTGCCCAGCAACTACAACGAGTCTAAATTCATCGCTGTCAGCGTGTACTCTACGTTGGTTTTCGGCATGGCGGCCGTCCCCGTCTACATCACGGCCACCACCGTTCTGCAAAAGGTTGCAACGCTGTGCGTGGCCATACTGCTAAACGCCTTCTTGACCCTATTCTGCGTCTACCTTCCGAAGTTATACGCAATCCAGCTAGACCGCGATGTAGAGATTAGCGAGTGGAGAGTCTCGGGCGCTGGGGCACCAGATCAGACTAAATCAACTACCGCTTCGTCAAGTCGCGGAATAGCCAAGGTACAACCAGAATCGTCGAATGACAAGAAATAAGAAGGAATATAATGTGTAACCTACGGAGTGTTAAGGTAACAGGTGGGCAGGACAATCAATTAACGAATGTACACATTAGCAAGTTACCAAATTCTGCGGGTTCCAAAGGTCCATCACATGGAGTGCATGCTCAGATAATGTGGGAAATAGCAAGGGAAATCAAAAATCATATGTCTCTTTCTGATTTGGCACTAAAAGACTTTAGGCTTGAATTCACAAATCAAAAACCGCCGCCTATATTACAGTGAAACTGTGTCCGTACCTTGAGTACCGTATTTTCATTTAACAGTTGACGTTCGCTTCCTTCATCGCAGCATGCTTCGTTCTATATTCGCAACATAGCGTCATGGGTAGTACTTCGTTTTTATATATGCAAACACATGATTTTCAATCGATTAGTTCTATATTTATTTTCGTTCTCTAAAGTTTGGTTCCGTTCTATATACATTGGTTTCAGTCTTTGCGGTGTATAAGTGATTTCATTCTCTCGCGTCATACAATTGTTTTATCCCTGTTTGTTTTGGCCAACATGTATTTGTTTCGTCCTGTATTTGTTTTCCAATAAAGGCACAATGGCTGTCTTACAAACAACCAAATGATAAATTTATATACAATGTGCACCTGAGTCACCTGCACTGGCATTTGCCAGCCCCTGCAATCGTTACTTAAGAAAAAATACTACCTAAGCAGCCTATTTATAAGAGCCTGTTTCCAGATAGCGAGAGATTATTTATTCGCCAGACAGAAGAAGTACGTAGGTTGGCGCTACTCCGCACGTTTACTCTTTTGACAGACGTGATGAGGTCTGGCTAAAAATATCGTACTGCTACACGGTTGCCCTCCGACGGAAGCACAGAAGGGCAACAACCAATGAGTCAGTTTGATATCTCAGAAAGGTATGGTCATTCGGGGCAAAGTACTCGCGTCAATTCGCTTAGAGCCACTCTTAGAGCTGATCTCGCACGAACGTCCGAAGGACCTTGGACACGCTTCGTTTTGGACATTCGCTGTTTGAAAAACCGAACTGACTCATTTCTTTTCAAAGTGCTGTCTCTCGCCGCGGCGAGTTGAAAAGGTACAATCGATCATGTTCCTTTGATGCAACAAAATTAGCCAAAATTTACTGACGGGTACCTGAGAACAAATGTACAAAAAAAGGGCCCACGGCCTATGAGTAACCTTGTGCAACTGTCACATTAGTGTCCCCATTTCATCTTACATTCTGTTTTGTTCCTTTTTCCCTTTTATGGGATTTTGCTTTTTTACGTTAACAAAAAAGTGATTGTATTTATGAGCCAACGCGATGTACACGATTCAGGACAAACTTCAATGTTACGCAGCCATTTCAATACTAACAATTGTTAGAATTTTGGGGATTTTCGTATGTGTAGTAAATGGCAACATGAAAACAATACAGTGAAAAAAGGTTTCTCGTAGCCATGTCTAATCAGCAAATACTGCATTAATAATTTGATCAAGGCACTGTGAACAGTGTCCTTATGAATTGATGTCCTAGCAGCACTATTTGCGGGAAACACTTTAAAAAATAAATGTATACAAACACATTTTGCCATTACCCAAGGTGTCATTTTCATACCCTGAAGAGGGGTCATTGGAAATAGACTCCAGGCCATTGCGCCGCACCTCTCCAAGGTAAAGTGGTAGCACGCCCGGATTCTCTTCTATCCTCATTCACTCAATTTCATGTGACGATTAAGTCAAAAGTCCATTAATTATTTATAAGCTAGTCTTTAAAAGCATTTATTCTCCCGTTGACGTCTACCTTTGTAAGGTTTGTACGAGGCGCTGAAAGCGTCTTTTTGCTGCTTCTTTTTCAGCTTTTATTGAAGGTTAGCCATTGTGCTGACTTTGTTTGCTCTCGTTACTTTTCCCGACCACTTCTTTTAGCATTATAAATTGCCTAAACGATAGAAGGCCCCCGCCGCAATCAAGAAACAGCAATTAGCCTTCGCCGATTAATATTGGCAGAAAAAAAGAATCGGCGCCTGTACAACAGTGAACAGAAGGCTTTCTTTCCTGTCAGTGAATTCTTGAGGCCCCCGCCACAATCAAGGAACAGCATTTAGCCTTCGCCAATTATTATCGGCAGAAAAAAGAATCAGCGCCTGTACAACCGTTAATACAAGGCTTTTTTTTCCTGTCAGTGAATTCCTGAGCGCAGCTTTTTAAAAAAAACACACACAGGGGACTTCATCGTCATCAATGAACGGAACGTGCCGACAGTCAAGGCGCCTTCCTTCTGGATATAAGACAAACCATTAAGTTAAATCTAGCATTTACTCCAGCATCTGCGGATCCATGACTTGGTTTGATTAATAGGCACAAACCTTTTCCGTGGTTTAGCAAGTTACTAACCAGGACTAGCACCTTGTCTTAACATTTCTTCAACGTAGTTTAAGAAACGACTATAGCAGAATGTCAACCCTGGCACTTCTTGTTCTATATTTGATGACCTTGGGGCTATCCGATGGTGGAAATCTACCAGACGCAGCTCATGTTACCATGACCAGCCCTGGGGATGTGATCCTGGGAGCATCTCTGCCCTTTCATGGTAGTACCTCTGGGACTCCGTGTAGCGGATCATTCAGTCGTTGGGCTAATGAGTTGGCTGCTCTGTTTTTGTTTGCAATCGAACAGATCAATAATCGTGCAGATCTCTTGCCAAATGTCACCATCGGTTACGACATTCGCGACAACTGCTACTCAGAGACTCTATCGTTGTGGACTGCTTTCAGCCTGGCTAGTACATCGGAGAAACCCCAGGAGGACGTCCAGTTCCCAAAGATCAGCCCGCCAAACAACGGCAGTCTACTGTGCATCATAGGGACACAAACAAGCTCAACTACCATTCCCACAGCTCAAGCTGCTAGCTTGTATCGGGTCCCTGTCATCTCCCCGTTCGCGACGAGCAACGAGCTGAGCGACAAGCGCCGGTTCCCTTATTTTCTTCGCACTGTACCCCCGGACAGTCTCCAAGCCACAGCAATCGCTGACATTCTGTTGCGATTTGGGTGGAAGTATGTCGGTCTATATTTCCAGCTAAATACTTATGGAATTCACGGCGCCCAGGCATTGCTAGACCTCGCGGAACCGCATGGGATATGCATTGCATTTTCCGTTCCCGTCCGCCAGGGCGCAACAAAGGCTGAACTTCAAGACGCCATTGGTAGACTACTTAGCTTCCCCAAAGTCCGCGTTGTAGTTATTATAAGTGAAACCAGACATGCAAGCGCTGTCGTGAACACAATCGAGGAACTTGTTGGCATTCCACACAATATTACATTTGTTGGAAGCGATGGTTGGGCCTTCCCAAATACACTGCAGGATCGCTATGGCGTCAATCTCTTGGGACTGGAAGGCAGCATATTTGTCGGGCTCAAGTACAATCAAATTCCAGGTTTTGAGGAATACTACCGCTCTCTACAAGCAAGAGTCACACCTTTTTCCCCATGGTTTTTAGAGTTCAAAAAGCGATGGATGAAAGACAACAAATGCACTGATCTCTCCCAGTGTCCAATTAGAATTTCTAGCAACGATAACTTTTTGGTGGATGCCATTTACGCTTTCGCGTACAGCCTCCAAGATTTCCTACTCGACCGCTGTAAAGACAACACCAGTTGTAACGCAATAATTCAAGCCACACGGGGACACGATTTCCTTCCCTTCTTACTTGGAGTCAGATTTAAAGGCCTGGCTGGAAACTATGTTTTTGACTCCGATGGTAACCCTGGTGGGAAATACAAAATACATAACTTTCAGTTCAAAGATGGTGGATTTCAGGATGTTACAGTGGGAGAATGGGATGCCATTGGAGATGATCCCCTGAAAATAAATCTGTCCGCCATTCAGTGGGTGGGGGGAACGCCAGATCCACCAGCCTCAATATGCCGAGAGGTCTGCACACCGGGTCACATCGAAGTACCTTTAGAGCAAAAGTGCTGTTTCGGTTGTCAAAGTTGCCCTGATAACGCCATTGTTCACGACAATATGTGCCAGCAATGCCCCGAGGGCGAGTGGCCGGAGGACAGTTTCACAGCTTGCCGCGTCATTATACCGACCCCGCCCAGCTGGAGCGAGCCCACAGTCATTGCCATCCTGATCCTGTCCGCCTTTGGACTAGTCCTGTCCCTTCTGGCAGCGTTCGGAATCTACTACTACCGAGGACACGTGCTGATCAAAGCCGCCAGTCGTGAACTGAGCATTATCAACATCTTAGGGCTCACGCTGGCCTTCTTAGCTCCCTTTCCACTTCTGGTTCCACCGACTGCTGTCTCGTGCCGTGCATCAGAGATCATCGTCGCTCTGTGTTTCACTCTGACGTATGCCCCAACCCTGCTGAAAGTCAATCGCATTTACAGGATCTTCAACGCCGGGAAGAAGTCCAACAAACGTCCTCGCTACATTGGTCCCAAGGTGCAACTCATCTTCGCTCTCGGTATCGTTGCATTGACGGTGAGTACTGAAACAAAATCTGAATATCATATGGGTGTTTTATCGTTCTGTGGGCGTTTTCTTTGTTAAAACTACTTGAATATCCACGCTTTTAATCTTGGGATGGGTAAAATGGGGACTTTTTCCACGATCTGTAAAGAATTCTTAATATGTAAAAGAATTTCTTTAAAATTCTTTTACATATTAAGAATTCTTAAAAAACAGTCCTTAGTTTTGTCATAATAATTGTGCACGTGTCCTTTGATTTACATGTAGGTTGTAGTTGCCATGGCTGGTACCATAGCAAACCCAACCTTACCAGCTAAACTTTATTTCTACCCTCGACGTAACTACATTGAGGTATTCTGCCAGTTTGGGAACGGTTTCTTGGCATCCCTCGTTTCCAATCTCCTCTTGGTCTTGGCCTGCTGTTACTACGCTTTCAAGGCTCGCAAGGTGCCCAGCAACTACAACGAGTCCAAGTTCATCGCTATCAGCGTGTACTCTACGTTGGTTTTCGGCATGGCGGCTGTCCCCGTCTACATCACGGCCGCCACCGTTCTACAGAAGGTTGCGACACTGTGCGTTGCCATACTGCTCAATGCCTTCTTGACGCTGTTCTGCGTCTACTTACCGAAGCTATACGCCATCCAGCTGGCCAGGGATGTTCAGGTGAGCGAATGGAAGGTTCGAGATGATGTCACCGGCACAACCGCCGTTTCCTCTGCGTCCAGCACTATCAAAGTACAGCCAGTTTCTGATAACTACCGAAAGTGATGTGCATGAAAATTGGGTGGTGTGATCACAACAGGTGTATTATCATATTAGAACGTTGTTTGGGTACCATTTCACATAATTATGCTCAATATTTGCATTATTCAGGCTGTTTGTAACTATGCTGCCAAACAATCTTTATTTGTTTTGTTTTGCGGAGAAACTCTAAACCTGCAAGCAACTTTTTGTTTACTTACACTCGAGACCTGCCACTTCAAAATCACTCCACCATTTGTGTAAAACACGTTCAGCGAGTGATAAAGCAGTTGTGTACGCATGTCATAATGCGTTTTTTGGCTCATTTGAAAAGGTGATCTCTTGAATTGGCTGGAGTCACATACTCTTCGCGCATATTTCAATATAGTTCCACATTAATTAAAACGTTCCATTGTCATATTGGAGGGAAAACGACAGTCAAATTTTAAGTACGCTCACTCAAATTGAAATTTGCAAGCAAGTTACGTTAAAAATCGCCCAAGACATCGACAGAGAACATAGACAACTCAGTTTAGGGTTCTAAATCATTTGCTATCGTCATTATTTTGGCTTGTTATCTAACTGTATCAGTACTTATTTAAAGGCGTTGTGCCAGTCGATTGCATTATGCAGAGAGTTAACATAAGAATTGAGGAGAAACACCTCATAAGTAAAATTGTTCAAAACCACGTACATTGTAAAAAACGTTTTAATTCATTCCTGATACACGCGTGTGAGAAAAACGGTTAAGACAAGATATTTATAATTGTCATCAAAATAACGGTACTTCCTTTCACATTTTTATATCCAGAATTGCCACCCAAATCATGCATTACCAATTATTATGCTGTGTAATCACGTCCGGGGCTTGTGATAACGTCAGCCCCGTGTACTTTAATGGGCATGTAATTAACAGAGGTGTTCATGCAAATCGTGCTTTTTTCCCATTCTTCAGCCTGAAAAGCAGAAAAACACAGATAGTGAGCAGCTGTCCTCCTTGGGGCAAAGCACTCTAAGTCTTATAGCACTTTTCTTATTCCGCCCCGGCGATTTAAATGTGGTAAAAGCTAGTAGACCGTATAAGTGGAGAATGTATCGTACGCACACAGCACAGTGTATCCGAATTGTCAATGGTCACATACTAATGGAAAAAAATCAAGTCAGACTATAAACGACACTGGGCGTCTCTTTTCAAAGACAGGTATTTATTATTCCTAACATTCTTTCTATATTGTAATAATGAGAAGGTTCGACTAAAACCTCACTTGTTCCAGAGCCCAATTTTAGCACAGGACACACGCTGTTTCTTTTCTGGATGAAACACTTTGTTTAATTGCGGGGACACAAGATGATTTTATCCTTGCTGCTGATTTTCCTGTCTACAACATTTGGGCTGTCAATGTCTGGTATCATTCCGGAGGCGGCTCATATTAGTCTGAACAGCCCTGGAGATGTAATTCTAGGGGCGTCCTTCTCTTTCCATACTTATTCTTCACCAAACCTGCCTGCTTGCAGCGGAAACGTTCTGACATATGGAAGCGAGTGCGCAGCCCTGGTGCTATATACCATCGACAGCATCAACAATCGTACCGACCTCTTGCCAAATGTCACCATCGGCTACGACATCCGCGACAATTGTTACTCGGAGGCTGTGTCCTTGTGGTCTGCTTTCGGCCTGGCTAGCACGTCTGAGAAACCACAGGAGGATATCCAGTTTACAAACATTCTTGGAACGGCTCACGGCAAGCTCATTGGTATTATCGGGACGCAGTCGAGTTCAACCTCAATTCCAACTGCACAAGCCGCCAGTCTGTATCGGGTCCCTGTCATCTCTCCGTTCGCAACGAGCAACGAACTCAGCAACAAGCGGCGGTTCCCGTATTTCCTCCGCACCGTCCCCCCAGACAGTCTCCAAGCGTCGGCCATCGTTGATATCCTGCAGCATTTCGGATGGAAGTACATTGGACTGTACTTCCAGCTGAGTGCTTACGGAATTCACGGTGCGCAGGGAGTTCTAGATCTCACAGAAGAGCGCGACATATGCGTCGCATTCTCAGTAGCACTCCGCACAGAAGCACAAACAGGCGAACTTGAAGAAGCAGTTGCCAAACTAGCAATCTTTCGCAAAGCGAGGGTGGTGGTGATATTCGGCGACACTGGCATTGCAAACAGGATTTTCAGGACAATCGCAAGCAAGGAAGACATTGCCTCGCTTAATATTACTTTCATTGGAAGTGACGGATGGGCAACTCCAGGCTCACTCCTTGAATACGGAGTTGACCTCGCCCTAATGCACGGAACCATTTTCGTCAATTTAGTCTACAAGGTCGTTCCTGGCTTCCACGATTATTACCGTTTCTTATTACAAAGAAGTGGGAAGGCTTCCATTCCATGGTTCGAGGATTTGAAACGTCACATCATTAACAAATATGACTGCTCCGATTTTAACCAGTGTCCGATGAAAATCTATGGAAACGCTCCCTTTATAGTCGATGCGGTTTATGCATTTGCTTATGCCCTCCAAAATTTTTTGACTGATCGTTGTAACAACAGTGACGACTGCAACGCAACACTTCAAGCCCTCTATGGTCACGATCTACTTCCATATTTGCACGGGCTGAAATTTGAGGGATTGGTAAGCAATTACAGTTTCGACTCAGATGGCAACCCTAGCGGCAAATATGGCGTATTTAACTTTCAGTTTAAAGGTAACAATGACTACGAAATGGCTGAATTAGGGACATGGGATGCGCTGGCGCACAATCGCCTCAACATCAACACATCTGCTATTCAATGGGCTGATGGAACGCTCGACCCACCAGTCTCAGTTTGTCGAGACATCTGCTCGTCAGGATACATTGAGGTACCTCTGGAGCAAAAATGCTGCTTTGGTTGCCAACGATGTCCAGATGAAGCCATTGTTAGTGACAAAAAGTGCAAGTCATGCTCTGTGGATGAGTGGCCAGACGAGAATTTCGAAGTCTGTCAACCCATTGTACCGACCCCGCCCAGCTGGAGCGAGCCCACAGTCATTGCCGTCTTGATCCTATCCGGATTTGGACTTTTCCTGTCCCTTCTGGCAGCGTTCGGAATCTATTACTACCGAGGACACGTGCTGATCAAAGCCGCCAGTCGTGAACTGAGCAGCATCAACATCTTAGGGCTCACGCTGGCCTTCCTCGCTCCCTTCCCACTTCTGGTTCCACCGACTGCTGTCTCGTGCCGTGCATCAGAGATCATTATCACTTTGTGCTTCACTCTGACGTATGCCCCGACCCTGCTGAAAGTCAATCGCATCTACAGGATTTTCGACGCTGGGAGGAAGTCCAACAAGTGTCCTCGCTACATTGGTCCCAAGGTCCAACTCATCTTTGCTCTAGGTATTGTTGCATCGATGGTGAGTACAGAAACAAAATATGAAGTTTACGTGGGGTTTTATGGTTTTGTGGATGTTTTCTTCGATAAAAAATGCTGACGTTCCTATGCTTTAGTCCTGAGACGGGTGCAATGGGGATTTATTATTATTACCTGTAGAAGATATTTTATCAGTAGAAAATTTCCCATAAAACAACATTCCTTAGTTTTGCCAAAAAAATGTGTTGAGACTATATGACAGTGTCTATCATTTTTGTAAGAATAGAATGGACGTGCACGACAAAGCCCTAGCGACGAGTAATCAAATTTTAATATTATATTACACAGTTGGAAGAAAGATAATTCACTGGGCAAGTCGTTTGGAGCACCGCCTTAGGCCTATATCTTCCCCCCGCTCAGAAGTTAGAGAATAAAACACGTGATGATCCGCCTTGGTCAGTGTTTTAAATCTCACCAAACCCATTAAGTAACCCGGGGTTACTAACCCGCTCTAGGAAATGAGACCCCCTCCCCGAGCCTCTTGCAAACTGTACCCCCAGATACGCCACTAATTTAAAGATTTATGTCGTTCTACTTTGACAGGTAAAAATGTCATAAAATGTAGCTTCACAATACATGAACGCATTATCCACCTAAAAAGTGGTTTGTAATTCGATTACTATGTGAATGTGCCCTTTGATATAGGTTGTAGTCGCCGTGGCCGGTGCCCTAGCAAACCCAACCTTACCAGCTAAACTGTATTTCTACCCTCGACGTAACTACATTGAGGTATTCTGCCAGTTTGGGAACGGTTTCTTGGCATCCCTCGTTTCCAATCTCTTCTTGGTTTTGGCCTGCTGTTACTACGCTTTCAAGGCCCGCAAGGTGCCCAGCAACTACAACGAGTCTAGATTCATCGCCATCAGCGTGTACTCTACGCTGGTCTTCGGCATGGCGGCCGTCCCCGTCTACATCACGGCCACCACCGTTCTGCAAAAGGTCGCAACGCTGTGCGTGGCCATACTGCTCAATGCCTTCTTGGCGCTGTTCTGCGTCTACCTTCCGAAGTTATACGCAATCCAGCTAGACCGAGAGGTGGAGGTTAGCGAGTGGAGAGTTTCAAATACCGGGTTATCGGGTCAAACGACTTCAACTGCTGCTTCGGCTAGTTGCGGGAGAGCTAAAGTACAACCAGAGTAATCGAGTGGCAAGAACTTGAAGGGGAAGGTGAGTAGCTCTATTGGGGATAAGTGGAGGTGACAGTAGTCTCTCGACACTGCATGTAAACTTGAACTGGGAGATCATCAAGACAGCTAGTGCAGCACATACTGAAATCTTATTCTTTCCATTAGGCTATTAATTTCTGAAATTTGTAAGAAAAGCATCGGTCTGTCAATGCACTCAGACGCCATCCCTACATTATATGGTAAGAAAGCTTCACATTGATAATCAAACAATATGTTCATTTACATTCATTGAAGCAACAAAGATAAACAGGATAAATAAAAACGCAGTCACAATATAATTCGTACGAATAACATAACACGTTTCGCACCAACCATTCGGCTCACAAAACTACAATTGAACTGATCTCCAACTTCACATTCCTCTGAGGTGATAATATTGTCAACAAAACGTTAAGCACGTATCAACTCGAGCGAATATTTTCTGCAAATCTTTCGTGACGTAATATTCGCTTTCACATTCGCCTGTATTATGAACGGCCTTCAGGTCAATATTTACACCGTGATCTAACAAAAGTTGAACACAATTTCAACACCAGCAAAGTTTGCTGCAGAAACGTTTCGTGAAGTTCGCTTTGTTTTAGCATTTGCAATGAGTATGAACTGGCTTAAGATGGATAAAACATAACACAAAATCACTTTATCTGCGACATGCTTTGCTCTAAAGAACTATTTATCCGAGAATGGCTTGGGTAGTGATCACTGAAATGAGAACGACATAGTCCACTTTTTCCCACTATAATATTATATGATTATTTGTCACGTAAATCACCTGCAAGATATCACGATACTGACCTATCTCAGTAGAATTGCATCGACACACATAAAGATACGTGTAACGTAAAATGCTGAACCCTTTAAAGAAGACATGATTTGCCCGTAACAGTATTGATAAAGTTACCAGCAACAATCTTCAGCTATGTTCTTATCAAAGTAAAACTGATATCTATCTCTTTTTCACCTGCTAAGATTAGATGTCGGTATACGACGTCTCATGTTTGTGTACAGTAATAATATACTCAAATTAATCACAAGGGATGCACTTTTTACCCAATTCCCCGCTATCTTGAGTATTACAACCCATGTGATAGCACGTGTGAAGTCTACAGAGCAGAAGTCGTGCAAATGGCTTCCAAAATCACGTTGTACTTTAGAATTTCTGTCGATCTGTTGTTTACATTTGATTTGATTTGATTTGATTTAGTCTGTAGGTCAAGCAGAGGTCACTTGAAAAGGGAATTTTTGTCTCAGTCCAAGAAGTTAGTGATCCAAAGCAATGGTTGCACTTGCTGGCGCAACTTTTTTTTTCTTTTACTATGCTTGTAACATAAAACGTCTTGGGAATTTTGCATTAACGACGGCGTACCCGTTTTACCTTCAGTGTAAATATAAATACCTTTGAACAAAGGACGGTTTCCTAGTATCACAGTGTTGCATATCTAGTTAGCGTGCTTGACAAGCGCGGATCCAGGGGTTGAGGTAACCCCCTCCCCCGCTAATTGTCATTTTGTTGGCCTGCGTTTTAAGGCTGGAAGACCCCCTGAAAGGTATAAAACATATGGGATGTTATTTCTACATGTAAAATACCGGTATTTAAGACCAAGGGATGAAAAAGCATCACACACGGCGACAACTACATGCAGCAACACCCCTATACACCGATCCCCACAGTTCACAGATGAATTTCGCATGTAGCGCGTATGTTTCCAATCTTCGTGAGACTGACAACAAGCCATTTCGCGATCGTCCAAGGAAAAGGTTAAACAACTGCAACGGATTTCAAAAGACACTCGGTGGAGAACGCGTGCTGGTCATATTATTTATTATTTATTCTATTTAAGGCCGGACCATCATCCGTTATTGAGCACAAACGTCTTGGTGCGACGCTAAGATTAGTTAATTATTCTGCTCAGCATTTAATACGAGCTATATTGCATTACCTGCCACTGGAGTATATGTATATTTAATGCCAGCGTATATGGTAATACCAACATTACGTTCATTTGTCCATTGATTGCATATCACAGTATGATATAAGATATGTCAACACCATTATTTTTCAATAAATCACATTAACGTGCAGCATAAATGTATAAATGTATTTCACTACAATTTAACCCAAAAAGATCCGGGGCAGAATCTGCCTCCAAAACATTTTCCCAGCCTATGGAATTTTAATCATCTCCTTGCGGTTATTTAAAGACCAATTTTTGTAAAATCGGGAAGTCCTTCTCACGCAACGACGAGACGGGTCGGCCAACAAGTTTTTTTTTCTTTAGGCAGTCTAATACATGCGCGCTAATCAACATGCGTGAGGCCATGAACTTCTGATGACTACGACATCAAAACCCTATGCTGAATAAAGAAATATTAAACTTTATATTTGCATCAATAAGGAGTGTATGACACCATTACTAGACTTTAAAACGATCAGACGTGAGCTGGGTTCTGTGGGGAGGACTCGAGTCTTCCCGGCTGTGAAGTGGTCCAACATAATCCGGCTCTTTGAGGGTTGGTCTGACCGTGCCATTAGAGCTGTTACTGTACTGCATATCCATGGTTGACATTATATTATGCACCATCACACGCCATCGGATGACATGATGTGAAGCATAATGTCACAACTGTGCATGCTGATGGCAGCCCCGCTGATGAAAGTATCCACATATTACCTAATATGGTCATAACCTTTTTCCAATGGGCCAATTTGGCAAAGATTCCGTGTAATCCCCCCAAGCCATACACCAAAAACCTGTAGACTTCCATTGGCCAGACCCCACCCACTGCAGGGTAAGAATTTGTGAAAGATCAGTATCCCCAAGACGCCCATATGACCCTGAAATGACCTGGTGGTAAAAACATCCGCCTCGCTGATCGGAGTTATTTCGGGGGCGTGGCTACAAATGTACTTCCACAGCAGCATAATGGAATGTAGTTAGAGAGGGGGCCTGTGGGATGTATTGGTTAACATAAAACAGTCTTACATGTTCAGGCATGACCGGAAACTCCGGGAAATGATGTGTCGATGCTTTTCTCCGCGTGGAGAAAAGGTCCCTCTTTTTTGGCGTTGCGGCTGCGAGGCATTTAATTAATAAAATTAAATTAATACGTTACACCGTGCCACTTTATCGTGGGAAATTGTCGTGATATACTATACATCGTCACATCACGTCATCCGTCAGTAATATTTCAACGTTAATTAACTGGCAATTAGTGTACCTGTGACATGTAAGCGTCTACTACATTTATATGTCGTGTTGTTTTCACCAAAACTGCGATAATATGCTTATACATAATTTGCAGTCAATATTATACGTTTTACCATTCTTGACTTCTGTGAAAAAAAAGTTTTTAAATATTAAGAAAAAAGATATATTCTGTAATATCATATACTGCAGCCTGGAGAGTATTGAAGTTTGGGGATGTTTTGGCTTAATTTGTGAAAGCTGATGCCATAATTGTTACCTTACTCCAAATGATCGACACTATAATAGCATACGTGAAATAGTAGGTAACTCGTCTGTTAAAATATTCTGGTAAGCTTTGTATTAAGTATAATCGTTGCATACTCCTGATGATCGATACTATAATATGAAAATAGTTGGTAACTCGTCTGTTAAGGTATTCTGGTGGGCTGTGTATTGAGTATAATCTGTGTACTATGATAATTGAATACTGTTAAGCTCGAGAGCATGTATTAATCCTACCACATCACCTTTAATTGCAATTCGTGATGTCATATTCCCACTATAAATAATGTGCCAATGCTCATAAGGAAACATTTTCAGGAATTTTTTATTGGTTTCAGGGCTGCGTCGAGTTTGTGAGGAAACATCACAAATTGTACCACTTTTGAATGGCATTATTTAGTAAAATGTATGTTTTATTCATGTGTATTTTTTATTGAATTTTATTGCTTTGGCTTTAGCATAGTCCACACGTACTGATACATCAAGGTCATTTGACACAGCGTATGCTGTACTTTGTTACGCGCTATATGCAAATTCATAGTGCAGACCGCACCTTTGATAAATATAAATAACTAATACAAATACAAATATGCAAAATATACCAAAATATATGTGTACACTGTTACACTTTCTTCTGTATTATCGATAATTGTTAACAAATTTGTGCGTTGCACACAATACATCGCCCAAAATGAGTGCATCTACTAGTACACTATAATCAAAGCGATAGCTAATTTAATGCAGTGAAAGAAACAAAGGAGAGATACCACAAGTATGTCAAGAACTTAACTACCCAACTTCACGTAATTTCCGGCGATCATCACCAGCTTAATCTTTGCAGAATTTAAATTATGTGGATTTAAAATTTACTCCTAAAAATTGACACTTAATACATTGTAATGACATTTCATGATGTACGCATATTTATTAAAAGCACTAGCATCATTCTGTGTGATTCGTCTTATCTTGTCTGTAGTCCACGATCTGAAGGATTTCTCTCTGGAAAGGCGCCCAAGTTACCAAACTGACTTAGGCCTCCTAATTTTACGACTCGACTGAGTCCAGTCATTTCGTCAGAGTTAGAGTTACTGGCAGTGTATGCTCGGGTCACGTCACTCGTATTCTGAACAAATCTGACATAAAAACAATACATCAACAACAGAAATCGGCACTGTTGATCCCTGGTTATGTTGTCTATCTGAAATACTTTAGTGTCTGAACGACGTATTGTTCATGGGAAAATCAAAAAAAGTTTGAAAAACAAAACCTTCAAATGATAACTTTAATTCAAGTCCCAATTGTGTAATTCGACAACCAGAATTAGAAACCATTACTGCAGATGCTTCTTCGAACAATGCGGTGTCGTGGTTTCCCAAATGCAAGCACGCGTCAAGGTGTGATAGCGGTGTCAAAGCAGTTACGGCGTCTACTCAAATTATATTAGTATAGGGCTGAGTTTGAGCAGCTTGTTCTCGTATGTTCGCAAAACAGCTCGATTTGCTGTTCGTGGGTTGGCCGCTCGAACGCAACGTTTTGGAACGTAGTTAGTGGCAAGCAATAGCAACATGGCCGGAACTAAGCTGAATTCTTCTCTGTTTAAAAGGGACATTCTTGTCTGTGTTATGGAAAACTATTGGTGTTAATTTAGCAAAACTCCACACTGTAGGCCTATACCGTTTTGCTTTTCTTGCAGCTGTTTGAAAATCAAAATCTCACGAGTTTTTCTTTGTGTTCCTGTAAAACCCTGGCGACGGGGTGGTGTGTGATCCTGTTCCGAGAACAGTGTTCTTGGGTCTCGTGTCGTGTTCTCACCGTTCAAGCGCGAGAACAAGAAACCCGTGTCAAGAACAGGTCGCCTGAGCTCGACCTATGAGCCCCGAGCAGGACCAAGAGAATTTCTTAGTAACGAAGGCTCCGTTAGTCGGTACTGAATCTCGCTGGTTCACGAACGACAAAGAAATATACGCGTCACGGTCGCATTGCTACCAACAAATTAGACTCCCGACCAATGCGGCTCTTTTCAACCAACGACGGGTGCTTCAGCTCGAGGCAGATGTATCAAGTCTAAATAATAAAAAAAACAAATTTATCCCCAGACGTGCCTTCGTTTTTGCCCTAGTTCTTGACATATCGGCCGATATAATTCTCGACATAGGCCTACAGGCATTTACAGTGGGGCACTAGGTTCTGACGAAGAGGCACAGAGTATACAACCCCAAAGGACAAAGTCACACACCCCAGGTGTATGATCAGGTGATTTCATTGATGATTCACTCGCTTGGCAAAGTAAATATACTCGTGTGCAAAATCATGTCATGTACCTACAGTTGAAAGTTAAAAGCGTTTGATGTTTAATATACACTTATAAACTAACGTTTTTTTTGGGGGGGGGGAAGTCGTGATAGAAATATAAATTTACATTTAGGTAAACTAATTCCAGTGTGGTAGTGAACCTTAGCCTTTGACTCTAACAAGGCTGTCACTGTCAGAGGTTGGCTGGACTCAGAGTATCAAGCTTTTCCGTGTATGGGGCCAAATTTGAAAGCGAATGTGGCTTCGGGCTTATTCAACATAATGCTGGGGCGAAACATATTAAAAGCCTTACACACGCTCTCGACATCATTGCTTTTATTTCGTGGTGCTGTTTCCTTAAGGTTTGGTGCTATTATTTGGTAAATAAAATATCATTATTAATTAATATTCGATTGAAGAAAATCTGTCTAGAGGGCAAGTTCCCCCCCCCCGTCACCAGGCACACCACTGGCTGGCCCACATGTAACCATACCGTGAATCAAGGATAGCAGAGCCCCCCCCCCGCTAGATACACCACTGGCTGGCCTAAATGTAACCATGGCGCAAGGACCCTCCCCCTTCGCTAGATACACCACGGCTGGCCCACATGTAACCATGAGCAAGGGTTGCAGAACTTGCCAAAGTGGAGCTACCAACATGTAATAAGTACACACAATAAAATAATACTAAAACAGGGCAAGGAGACTAGATAATGCACACTGCACGAACCCCAGGGAGCCTACTCCCCAATATATAGATCAGCAATCATGGGAAACAGTGTTGTAGTCCTATTGTCTGAATTCAAGTCACACGCTAATTTACATGATCCGTAACAAAAGCATTCCTATGTTCACCCCGTTACTTTTATGGTGGGTCTTGTGTCTGGTCTTGAGATGGTCTCGACTACAACACTGATGGGTAATAATCGCTGTCATGCCACGCCCATTAGTCTTTTATCAGCCACTTCAAAGAGCACCTTCTTATAAAGTGTCCACCATGCTTCTAAAGTCTGTAGGTGTAAGCCCACGTGATGTGTCCCGAACAGCGGGCGCGTCGTACGCAAATCCCGCCGTACATGCATGTCACATACAGCATTAATTAATGCAATGTAGGCTTACGTATTATACACGTTACGTATCAATGAATGTTAAATCTACTGCAAAAGCAGTCCCACAAATGTGGTCATAAAAGCACTCCCAAAATGGACTAAAACACTATTATCCACGAGTATGGAATCAACTAACATTTTCTAGGATGATTAGCAGTCACAATGATGCAAGTCAAGCTAGGGCACTTAACAAGACAAAGTTACTGGATGTGAGAAATTTGGGGCAAACTTTCTTACCTGGGCATTGCCCGAGCACCAGCGGCGAAACAAAAGACGCACACGTACGTACGTACACACACGTTCTCGTACAAATTGCAGCGTCGCCCGGCGCCGGCCGACCTACCTAGCGCCTGGAGGCCGTGTCTGAAGTAAGGATTCTTACGAGACATATCACTCCGCCATTCAAAAAATGACAATTACATGTCACACCTCTGTCCCAACCATTACAAACTAGTAGAATTACCGTGGATTATAAAAACGCAGTATTTACAAATCAATAATTTATACTTCAAGATGGAGACATGAACTATGAATCCCTCACAGAAAACTATTTGCTACGGTAGATGTTGAGGTTTGGTGAGTGCAAAGGCACCATGTCATTTGTGGGTTGCATAATTAATTAGCCTTTGCTCCTTTATTCAGGGTAATGACAAAACTACAGGCAATTACATTAAGTCCCCCATCCCAAGTTTCATCTCAGCCGCACCACCGTCCACGCCTATTTCACCGGGTGCTGGTGATAAATGACAGCCGCTGATTCATGATGGTTTGTGCGGATTAAATTGTTCTTCAGAATAATACTGGCTCAAAGAAATAACTGACATCATCATTACTTAATATCTTGATGATGAATGCTTACCTGACATTCCTCTGAACAAGCTAAGGATGTGGAACCCTTCCATTCTGGGTTTCTAATGTACATGCAAATTGAAATTTATTTTTTATGCAAATCCTCATGCATTGTGCCTTTTTTTTCAGATTTCCCACAAACTGTTATATAGCTGTTATCAAGCCAGTAACGTGGCGCGGCCAGCGTAAGGGGGTCAGAGTAGTAGAATGCACTTGGTTAGGAAATACGAAGACAGGAGAACACACTGATACTGGCAAGGATGTGGTTCACAATAATACGGTGACCCCAAATCCTTGCCAAACCACTGTTTTCAAATTCTCGCCCAAGAGCTAACAAAACACCAAATCCTGACTTTGACAATTGTTGAAGACAAAAGGGTAAATTCGTTTCCGATATTAGGGGTGGGGGTTAACCGTGTTATTACCCAATTAATTTGATCAAAATTACCTAAAGGAAATTCGAGAAGTGGAGGGGGGTCTATAGATACCACACTACAATAGGGGGCGCTGTTCGTAATTACTGTCCATAGAGTTGGACTCTGATACAAATTTAATCTCGTGTATTTGCAAGCTCCGTAAAACTTTTGCAGTTTGTTATTCCTCTTTTCTGCAACTGGAATGTACGCATTGTTTGTTTCTCAACACCAAAAGGAGGGGAAGAAGGATCCCATCGCTCATCGTTAGCCAAAAGGCTAGGGATTATACCCCCCTCCTGGATTTACTGGCACCCTTGGTGACGGTTGGAGAGTAAAGCAAAAGTTTTCTGAATCCTTTTGTTTTTCATAAAAATAAAATAGAGAAGTTGTTTTGAGCTGATTAAGTTATACGTACTCTGCCCATGTCATTATGCCTACTTCATTCATGAATCGAGAAACCAAAGTCACCGCTACATCAAGTTGCGAGTCATTGCACGAGAAAATTATCGGCAAATGTAAAAAGTACGCGATTATATTCTTAATTGGAATTTCACTCCTACAATGAACGTTTGTGCGTTGACGTCATATGTCTTTGCATACATTGCATAGGTTGCTTTGGTGACGAACCGAGAACTCCAGAAAGAAAAACATCAAATCCTTTGAAATACTGCAATATAAGGGCTAAAAATGAACACGTGCTTTTGTTGCCTGTACTGTTGTTCTTTGCTGCTTTTGTGTTGATACCTAATTAGTAAGAGTCAATTCTTTAGCAGTTTTCTAAAGGCCTACTGTAACAACAACTGTAAGAAACCAGTAAAACTAAAAGGCAGGCTCAGCGTGGCAGTAGTCGGACAACATACCATAACTACATGGAAGAGGGAAATAGAAAACAAGTGTTAAAGCGATTATTACAATGTTTGTCACCTGGAGACATTTTCCCCAATATCATATTGTGAAGGGACCCAGTGGGTGTCTATAATCTGATGTTCCTGGTTGGTTTTCTGTTATGTTTGAAAGGCATGTCATGACAGTCGCTCGCAGAAAGAAATTATGGTCTAATCTGGCACAAAATGTTCACCCAATTTAGAGGCGTTTCCTCACGCGGCTAAAAACTGCCCAGAAATCTGTGGCAAACCCAGGAAGGTGGTGGCTAAGGTTACCCCACTGTAAAGAATTCCGGCGTCCCGACAACCCCAGGGAAATTTGCCCCCCCCCCCCGCACAATTAACATCTCCCCGGCGCAAATCCATCCTTGGAAATAGTTGTTTGCGGTACCCACTGACTCGAACCAGCCAAACGACACCGCAAACTCGGTGGTCGAGTGCTTAATTTTTCTCCGAATGACGCAATCTACATTCAGAATTCGCATACTGGCATGAACTGAAAAAAGATCTTTTTAGTTTGTCATAGTTGAGCTCTGAAGAAAAGTGACATTGCGTTCGATTTGGATGGTGCCATGTTTATTTTAACAGATAAAATCAGAGAAAACGTGTTTTCCTTAGAGGTGCTTTTTAACATCTCCCCGGCGCAAGTCCATCCTTGGAAATAGAGGCAGCCGTTAGCGCTAACGAGCGGCTTCCATTGGTGCCCACGTTATCTCCAGCCGTAGCCAATAAATTTAGACGGCATATGAACGTATGTCTACGGCATACACCCCACCTGACAGAAACCCTGCCTTCTATAATACTCTGTGCACAAACAAGTGAGCAATGACCCAGTCTACTGTGTTTGGCTGAAATCAGATGATTTTTTTCACGGAGCGATACGGAGTCTACGGAAAGATGATTAGGCCTAGGCTACAGCTAGCTGGAAAATGATGGAATTGGAAGTTTCCACTTATCATGGCTGAGCTTGTCAGGTCATCACGGCTTCTGTCCATCGTGTGGATCATTTTCATTTCATCTCTAGTTCAAGGTGGGTAAAAATACAAAAAACTATGGCGATACAGGCTGTGTAAAACTACATGTAAATAAATAAGGACAGTCATGACGCAGCATTCAGGTACATGTACATATTGCATTTGCACAGACCATGGTTGGAGGAATTCCTCCACGCCACGCACAGACACCTGGACACACAGCGATTAGGTGGTAGGTTTTTTGTTAATGTTAAGACTAAGAGTGCCACATATGGACATCACTAATTTTCCCTTTTGCGGTAGAGCCATCAGAGAATATTAACATGTCCCAAAAAGCCAAATTTGGCACCGAAAATGGTGAACCTACTTAATTTTAGAAAATGCTCCTAGTCAGTCTCACTATCTTTATCCTTCCTCCATGGTCACACTCAGTGAGTCACAGGGTTTGTGCACAGGGTGTCACGTTATGTCCGGATATGGAACTCTTTTCCCCCATATTGCCATAAAGGCACTAGGCCTAGGCCATGGAAACATTGCCCCTTTGTCCCACCCACAATGCCTATCTAGCATCGCGTAAAATCACTCATACATGTACATGTACTCTTTCAGTAGAGGTGCACATCACAACTCGGGGACTGTCCCTGTATTTGGAGAAGTCCCTTTATTTGGGGACTAAACCAGTCACCTGAAAAGGAAAATGTCTCCTTAAAAGGCGGGTTTTTCCCAAGTGGGCTTACGTCAAAAATATCCACATGCTATTATCAATTTTTTCTCTCATATTTTCCATTCATGTTTAGGCCTAGTTATTTGAGTTGTTTTTATGAAGGTTGTGCCATGTCACATGATTAACTATATCATAAACAGTTGATTTTCTCTAAAATTGTGTTCATGTCGTCTTCTTCCCACCCTTTATGTGCCATTGAAGGCTCGTGCTTGTAATCCTAAAAGTAATTAGTAGAATTTTTTTTTTAAAAGCAGGCTTAGGTGTTTTCTTCTGCTGAATCCAATTAAGGCATTAAAAGGATCCCCAGAGCATTGGTAGGATCACCAAGCCCGCTTAAAAAAAATTGACCCCATACAGAGGGGCATTCTCTCTTTCCACGGACTGATTTTGTCCTCAAATAAAGGGACTTCTCCAAGTACAAGGACAGTCTCCCGAGTTGTGATGTGCGTCTCTACTGTTATTAACGATAATGCTTAGAAAACACTAAGGTCTTTTCAGACAAGTCTCACAGGTTTGTGCACATGGGCATCAAGTGTTGTCCGTATACTCTTTCCAAAAAGTCCGATGTGAATGTGGAATCATGTGTGAATTTCATGTGCATATAGGCCTACCCCTAGAACTCCATGGCATTAAAAACTACTAACAACCAATACAGAAAGTAATGTTAATATGAATATAACCTTGTAAATAATTAAAAAGGCCCCCACTCTTAGTTGTCTGTCCTCTTACTGTCTGTTTATATGTGGAATATGATTTTGTACCCCGAATTGAATTCCTGCGATATCTGAATCTTCACCGTATGTACTGTTTTGGAAAAGAAGAAGATGGAGTGGGGTCGAAGTATTTTGGTCAATCAGGCAGGGACAATCAACAACTTTTTTGGGGGGCAGTCTTAACATGATTAAGGCTGTCGTTACCAGTACTGGAAGAGTTGCATGCATGAACATCGTTTGACACCCTGTGCACAAACCCATAAGACTGGGACTGACCGGTCTGATAATTTTAAATATTTCTAAGTAAATTTTTCAATATTTTCCCTGCTTACCTGGACATTTTAGATCATGTGAATTCATTATCAATTTCTGATGGCCGATCTACCACACTGCAGAGAGAAACTAACTATATCCGTGTATAGGATGCTTTCCATTCCATAATCCCTGATTATATTGTCATAGCAGAGAGCAAAGATTATTACTGCGTGTACATGTGAGATAGTCACACACTCTTCATTCACAAAGTTCCTGCAAATATGGCTACAGACAGACGAATTATGAATTAAGTTTGGGATGGTACACGTATGTAGATCGTGTTACACTTTTGCAGAGACAATCTTTGTTCTTTTACTCAGTTGCTATAGTTACAGCACTTTAAACTGGTTGCTATCTACTTTTAACTAACCAGTCTGCACTATTGAAAACAGGAACCAGAAAAGAACATGATGAATGGATTTCAGCTTTTTTTTTTTTTTTTCGGTGCAGTGCCGTAACTAGAGAGCTTAGAAGTCATGTGACAGCTTCCATATCTGTAGCCCCACATTAAATTAACTTTAATTCTGATGCATGTAACACTTGAAATCTCTTTTTTACTTTTGATCCTTTGCAGCACTTATCGTGCAGGCGTCAATGTGGTTCAACCTGTGGAATAAAGCACAGTTTGAACAGTTTAACTGCACAGATTTCAAAATAAATTTGTGCAAAGCCTGTCGGCCTGGAACAGCTGCCAACACAAGTAAATTCTCTTTGATTTTTTTTCCTAATGCTTGAAAAAGAGCACATTTTATCAACCTTATTCCGTTGTTGTTGAATTTATGTACTTACTAAATGCCCACTTCAGAGGGAGTGACTGCGTAGCATAGTTGGTAAGCATGTACAACCCTGCAGTTGCCAATTTCTTTTTTTACCACCCCAAAAATCACAACATTTGCCATTATTGTTTTGAGTCCGATCATAGGTTAGATTGCGTGATATTCACTTTTTCTTTTTGTAAACCGTAGGTCTGGACGTTTGGTTGGTTTTTTTTTTAAGGGGAGGAAAAGCTGAAATTGCAATAGAACTGAATTCCATCTTGTGAATACAAGTTGACAATTGTAATGTAAGCATGCAACCGGATGAAGATATCTCATGGTAAATTCCCCAAAGACGCTCAGAGCACATGAAAGAAAAGGATAACATTCCATGTTGGACCATCACAATTTGCAAGTGTCACAAACACCAACAAAGTGAGCCTAATGCTTTATCGAAACCTGTTGCCACCAGGTATATGAACATGTACATGTACCAAACCCCTTCTCCTCACTTGAAAATCCTCCTAAGTCGGGGGGATACCCTATTGGTATTCAAGCCACTAGAGAATTGTGATGGACCAATACAGAAGAAAATGGCACACGAAAAATTGTAATAGTCTGAAAATGGATTGAGAGCTGATAGCGTTTTTTGGGTGGATGGCAGGTACAGAGGAATGTTTTTGTTGTGCCGAGGCCCAGCTGCATGGAGAGTGCAGCGATGACGGCTGCTATGAGTGCGGCAGGGGTAGTTACCAGCCAGACCCGGGGCAGACCATCTGCAAAATGTGCCCGGCGGGAGAATACACAGAGTAAGCAAGCAAAGTTGTCAAGGGCAGAGTTACATTGCATTGATTTCAATATTTGACCAGACATTTGATCAAATGTTCCAGTATTTAGTTGTAATGTGCAGTTTCAGGCGAGTGCACGTAGCCTCCCTAGAAACACTTTTGTACAGGGTATCAATGTACAAATTATACACGAAACAATTCATTATAAATGTAATCACAAAAATAACTTGAGATTAGTTGGTACTTGAAAGCAGAACTGTTATTTTCATTTTTTGGATTGCGCTTTAAGAAGATGTTTTGGTCACAAAGAATAAAAAAAGAAGGGAATATTTGACCGTCTTTCAAGCACTGTTTCATTTGGCCACCAGTCCACCTATCCCAAGGACAGGAAAAACAAATTCAGACAGGCAGTTTTTGCTTGTTCAAAATTTACAAGCCCCCATTTGTCATATAAATCTTCAACACTGGTGAAAAGATCTTTGCATTTCCTTATAAAACACCAGCTGTAGTGGAAATATGGCCTCAGATAGCACCTAGGGGTGACACTTTCAAAGCTTTTCCTGGGAGAGGACAGGTCCTAGATAAAAACCCTGCTCTGGAGTATTTGTATATTTGACACAAGCCTTGAAAAAGTTGTGCGGCTGCTCATCCCTGGTGTGGATTCTCCAGCAGAGATTTTTAACCAGAAATGGACACTGAGTTGCATAACTAAACAATTGGATTTCCCAGAAGTCATTCACATTCACACTATCTACAACGAATACAGTGATAAAGAAAACCAATAAAATACATTGTCATTTTTCATCAATAGATCTGATATTCAGTGCATCCACATTTGGGGCTGCTTAATGGGGAAATGTTTGTTCCTGATGTTAGACTAGGGTTCCTTATGTTCTTTCCTGATGTTGAAAATGGTGTCTAGTACACCCATGAGTTGAACCATGCACATTGTTCAACCCCATCAGTGTTCATTTGAAAGCATTCCACTGTTAACATTCCCCACGGTGCTTTTTGGTTTGTGCAGTGAGGAAGGGAGCCAGCTATGCAAGAAATGCAGTCTGGGCCACTACTCCAACATCACTGGTGCCCCTGGCTGCAAGCCCTGCAGGCCGGGAAGCTTCGCCAACGAGACGGGTTCCCGCATCTGCAGGGAGTGTCCAAAAGGTCACAGCCAGAAAGACAGCGGGCAAACCAAGTGTACGGCCTGTACGCCGGGTGAGCTCTTGCCTCATTCGCTGGTTGGACTTGATTTTACAAAACAATCATAAGCACACGTTGTTCTTGCTTTGCCAAATGTACACCAAAGAACAAGATCAGATCACATGTGACATGCTCGAAGTTTTCTGAGTGATCAGGCTCTTTTAGCAATTAACTGCATTTACCCTTGCATTTTGCCAGGAACGCTCCTCTGTATTCTGCATATTTCAACTTTAAAATAGTTCAAAGCCCTTATTAACCCTAACCCTCCTCAATCCTCCAAAATCCTTTGTGCGATTTTGGCGGATTTGGGAGGGTTGAGAGTGAACAGCAAAAGTGCATGGCTGATTGCGAAGGATGCCATGAGTGAAGGGCGTGGGTTAGACCATGTGTTGTTCTTGCTCAGTCGTGCATAAATTCAACCCGATATTTCTTTTGAATCAACCGCACTACTCAAGAATGCCATTCACACTGCCACAACTGTCCAGGATTGTCTGAGTTTCTTAGTGGAAAGTGGGTTTCATGAGTATGGGTCTGTGTTACCCAGGAGGGCGGGGGGTTTTCCGCGTTTCTGTTTTGGGCACTGCCATGTGATGCTGTAAGCATCAGATGGTTATGGAATGGAATAAATAATGACTCTTATAGGCAAGGTGTGGTAGTATGCCCTGTCAAGAGCATAATACACCCCCCCCCAAAAAAAGTACCTTTAAATACATGGTTATTTAATATTTAGTGATACAACAGCTATGGGTTATGATCACCCATCGGTACGGGATTTGTTTCAGTGGAAGCGTTCATAGTAACTTCGCGAGGATGGGATTGCTGCTCGCAGGTATCAGCAACAAGAGTTAAGTTGGCCATTGGAAATGGGATAAGTTGGGCGCATCGTGAACGGTGCACCATACAATTTCAGCACACATCTCTCTCAAATGAAGTTATTTATTCGGTGTGAAGGGCTTTATGGTTACATGAGGAGCACACAATTCTGTCTGAGCTCTATGCATTTTCTGGTTGGGTTTCAGATGAAACATTGCAATGGTGAACCACCAAAAAGAAAGAAAAAGGATGTGAGTGACTCTCCTTTTGTTCAGTTGAGGTGGTGTACCGTTGTGGTTGTTATCGCGCTCACATGTGCAGCATTTTTTTAAGAACGGGATGTACGCACTCCCTATAAGGATTAGGGGGACTTTTAAGAGACAATTCTGGACAAATCTCATTGGAACATGCCTCCCCCTCGCCCCCTGTCAGTGTTGTTTGTCATTGGGTAAGCTGGGCCGAATCTTGGTGCAATAAATGACCGCAACATTAAATGGGGGAGAGGGGGATCTTGTCACCGCGCTTTCCAGAAGGTGTTCCAACTTCCTTTGTCCAGGATTGCAGTACAATGGTAAGCCTTCAACTCTCTTCTTCTTTCTTGAATGAGTTCCTTGGAAGGATGATGTACTAGTGTTTTTCATCATAATTTGCCCTTTGCTAGATAAACACTCTTGCCAAGTCCGAAACAACTTTCAATAATGTTCAGATATCTCAGACACTTTGTCTCATGAAGTGGGGTAAGAGTTTGCTACTGCAGTGGAGTTTGAATGCTTTATTTTTATACGCTTGGACAGAAAGGATCTGCATGTACAGTATTTGAAGTTTTTAAGACTCGGACACTTTGTGGTAATTGTTCTATTTCTGTAGCTGACCAGCCAACACCCCCAATTTACTTGCATAAACTTATCAGTAAAGTATTGAAAGTAGAGTAGATGTCGTAGATGAAAAGTTTTAGCAAGGAATGGTTCCCATGATTAGAGACAGACTGAAAACTTTTAATTACTGTAGACACTTACAGTGCAAGTGTATTTCAACTTTTTGATCACAAGCTTAACCCTAACAGCCCTGAATCCTCCAATTTCAATATGATTTTGCACACACCCTAGGGAGTTAGGGTTAAAGTATGTGTACATGATTAGTACAAAGTCCAGACAAAGAGAAGATATATTCACAGACAGCATAACCTTTTTTTTCTCTCTCCATCTTTTCATGTCAGGCCATTTTGCCAACGTAACCAGACTCCCTAGCTGCTACTTATGCCAGCCGGGATCGTTCTCCAACACCACGGCGGCGTCCAACTGCACCAAGTGCGCGCTGGGGTACTACCAGCCCAAGGAGGGGCAAGCCAGCTGCAAGCCCTGTGAAACTGGCACGGAAGCGAGGCAAGTATTCCAACCCCGTGTTGAAGCGAACCCCTCACCGGCACAGGGGAGACAGCTCGGTGGGAAGGTTTTCCAACCAGAGCTCACATGCAAAGACCATTCAGGGACAGAGATCGGTGATTCAGACAGAAATTGGTCATGCTCCCTCAGCATGTTTGCAAACACCCCCGATGAACCTATGCGTGCATGCAATGAGTTCCTGCCAAAGGGCTGCCGCTGCTATGTAAATACACACCCTCTCTTGTTCTTGCTCAGAGCGGACTATACAACCCATATGCACATGTTGATACCCTTTCAGCATGGATGACGTTCATTGTTATCGTCAAATCATTTTGGCCGTGTCCAAGAGGTACATGTATATCAAAATTTAGCTAATCCAGCAGGAATCAAGCTTAAAACTGAAACATCCTGTTGTGAACACTTGTATATTTGATTACAAGAAGGAAT